ATTAGCCAAGGGCGGCGACCGCAGTACCACCATGTTTATCCGCGCTGTTGTACCTCGTCTGGCGACGCTGCTTGTCCTTGCGGGTAAGATGAACTGATCCACCCTTGCCCTTGGACGGACGCGTTGTGTCCCTCGCGTTACTTTTTTTTTTATTTTTTTTTTTTCCTCATGTGGCTTGTGTGTTGGATGGGGCTTTTGCAGCCACGACCCTGGCCAAGGTCAATTATGAAGACTGTGTGCTAACGGACAGCCAAAGTGCCACCATGGCGGACGCTGCCTCCCAACTTTTGGGTTGTTTGTCCCAGGTTTGTGTGCATCACCACGTCCACCGCATGCCACCGTCAATCCTCAATCCAGCCGACCTGGCTGATGTGCTCATCAGCCCCAACTGTGCTGCTGAAGTATGCGCTTCCGACCATGTATTGCACCAACTGCCTCGTTCCCAAGCAGAACTGGCAGGCACTGTGGAATAACCTCTCAACCAACTGCCAAGCAGTCCCCGTCTACAAACAACTTCAGGATGAGTTTATCTCCGGCTCCGACAAGGTATCAGTTTATTTGCGATCGATCAGTCAGCCGGTCTTTTTTCGGCCAGGTCTGAGGCGTGCCAATCGTTCATCTCACCCCTTCTTCATTCCACATTGCAGCCTGACACCGCTATCTGGGCAAGCTCAAACTGTGAAGCCTGCAACGCCACGGCCTTGCAGGGGTTCTGGGATCGCGTTTGCCAGTTTGGACGTTGCATCAACGAGACCTTGCCTTGCCCGCCAACCTTTCACAGCATCACACCAAACAAGGACCGCTGCCGCATTTGTGCGGCCGAGTTTGACGCCATCGTGTCCTATCACGATCATTCCTTCCCCAAGGCATGTCACTTCCGATATGCTTGATCAGTTGTTTGGGGTTGATTGGGCAGCACTTTCCCTCCGTTTCAACTGACGTGATTTTTGGTTCAGGCGTGCCAATCCAATGCGGACGTGGTTGATCATTTCCGGCGCATCCTCGATCTGTGGGGAGTGACCCTCAGCTGCCAACGTCAGAACGTGACCCGGGCTGTCATGATCGCGGTCCTCGTCATTGCCATCTGTACGTATACCCGCACACGCGTGCACACACACATGCCTTTCATGAAGCGTTTGTCTCAGGCACGGCACTTTGCCTATTGCTTGCATCACCTTTGACCTATTCTCTCTTATACCCCGCTTCTTAGGTGTGCCCATCAGCTTTTACGTCGTGGTCTATTTCTATCAGACGCGCACAAAGCCCGAACGGCATCAGTGAGTCTATTTCTGTCCACAAAACTGCTGTCACGCTGTTCTTGATGAGGCCACTCATTTGGCTCTACGTCATTAGAAAAAAGCCAGGAGCACAATCAGAAACCAAGCCGTTGTTGTTCAAGGCAAAACGAGATGAACACGTCGCAGACGTTCTTCGTAACGGTGGGAAAATCATTGAGCCAGAGTCTTTCCGCCGCAGTGCCAGCAGTGGCTCCATCAAGTCCACCTTGAGTCTGCCGCCCATGTTTGTGGACCACTCCGATCCTAAAAAGCTCCGCCCGACCTGGTCGAAATCACCAATGCCCTCGCCCAAGGCTCCCGTGACACCCTCTACCTCTCAGCCTTCGTCCCCGCGCAAAACCTCGGCGCGCTCGACCATTAGCGGGTCAGAGTCAGGTTTGTTGCTACCGGGCGTCGAGGCAAGCATCCCACAAGACGCATTCCCAGACTCGGAACCCAAACGCGATCAAATCGTTGTGAATGCTGCCACCATGCCGAGCGCACCCTTGCGGCGTGTCACGTCAGTCCCCAACACCATGTCTGGAGACAGCGATGTACGACCAACCCGCAGCCATGCAGCAGCGCCCACGACTTTGACAAATCTGACCGAAGAAGATGCCGGTGCGGAGGTGGATGTGCCGCGTCGGCCAATCTTTGTTCGACAACTGACTTTACACGAACAGGAGGTGCATCGCCACGATAGCACATCTGATGAAGCCCCTGCCGAGCGCTGGAACTATAGCATCAACGACGACCGAGGCGATGACCCCGACATGGAGGACGAGGACGATGATCTTGTTGTGCTGCGCCACCTATCTGCACGAGACTCATCCCAGGCGTGACCCGCGCTGTCAGCGTGGAGTCCTCAAGCTAGATCATGCCTACTCTGCTTGAGCACACCTCGCATTTCCTTTTCATCGTAGTTGAACTGTCAAGTCAATTTATCTTAGTATCATGGATTGAACCCAGGGCTAAAGTAACCAAGTTGTGCAGTTTTCATTTAGGTAGAATTCAAACTTTAATTAAGCTACAAAGGGCGACTGCATCACACATCGGTTGAGCTGCCGTACTGCATTTAAATCTCAAGTATGGGTTTGCTTGTTTGTGAAGCAGTTAAGGAGGTCGGATACAAAAACGAAACAAAAAGATAAGGCAACTTCTGTCATATCATGGCAAGCTGGCTTGTCGACTTGCAGCTCGCGCCTCGCGAGTATCGACGTATCCAGAATCCCGTGTGCAATCGTCTGGGGCACCCATCATTCCCGCCACGCGTGGCGGGACTGAAGGCACTGAATTGGATAAGAAGCTGCTAGCACCGAGTCCGAGAGACGGGGGGATGGGGTCTGATAAACACGGCTTGTTGACCTCGGAATCTGATGCGTTGAAGGGGCGGGCCGCCACCGTGGGCAATCGTAGGTCATTTTTACTGGGAGGCACGGGCGAATGTGCGGGCGATTCCGCAGGAGTGGCTGAATTGGAACTACGCCGTCGCCGACGCGGGGGCACGACCGGTGGCGTACGGAGATCACGACTCATTCGCCTGCTGGCCGTTCCGTCCGAGGGCGCTGACGATGAAGGTATGGACAGGCGAGAGCCCGAATTTTGCACCAGGGCCAGTGCACTTTTGTTGCTTTCTCTGCTCATTGGTCGACCCACTGAGTTTCGAACAGGCGGTGAAGGGGGCACGGGCGAACTCAAGCGACTTGTAGCTTCTTCTTCCTCCTTTCTTTCCATGATGGTCGAGACGCTGTGGGGCGCGACATAGCAGTCGTCCGCAGACTCTAGTAGAACCACCCAACATCCAAGCACAGCACCCATGACCCGTGGTGAAACCTGAGCGCTTGACACCAGTAAAGCACATCAAAAGACCAGATATTTTCCTGACCGGTGGAGGACCAGGGTCGGGCCGGCTGCCTCGTGGGCATTCCCTCAGCCAGAGATGTGCGCTTTGGCACCGGTGGTGGTGGCAATAGTGCTGCACGCTCCGCCTGCATGGCATCACGCAGCACGCTGGCCACGGTTGTAAAGTTGTTGTTCAAGGCAGCTCGCATAGCTGTTAATCGGTGCTGCGAGAGCTTGAAGGGATTTGCTCCCCGGGCCAATAGTAACTTGACCACCTACTCACACCGAGTGGGCATAATGAGCCGTTTGCAGGGTGTAACTCGAGGGCGTGACGCGAGAGGCGTTTAGGCGACGCGTTGCTATGATGAGATGGGTCGCGTACCTCAAGATGCCCGTTTTCTGCTGCTACGAAAAGAGGCGTTTTCCAATCGCCCTCCTGTTCAATCGAGTCCACGTCCATGTTTGGAAAATGCGACAGCCACTACGGATGTATTCCCACCATTAGACTCGCCAAGACAAAGCAAAGCAGCGATGTTGAAAAGCAGTTTCGGAGCACCTGACCTTTTCAATGCCGCGCAGATTTCCCTTGCGGCACATACGGCGCAGACGGACTGCAGTGCAAGGGCATCCAATCGCAGAAAACCATGAGAGATACGCCCAAAGCATCAAACTGAACTTGAGGCCGGCACGCTGCGACACGCTCAAGACAAACCTGCAGGGTGGGCGCGCAGGAAGCCACGTTTGGGCACAAAGACGTGGGGTTGCTGGGTGGTCAAAATAGTGCTTCTTCGCTCCTGTGCAGATGCACGCTAAAAAAAGAAAGTCAAACAGAGGTGAGTGCGATTTCTGAGGTCGACCGGTACATTTGAACTTCAGACGCACCGCGGCTGTTGATGATGTCGAGCCGTTGCTGTTGACTCCCAACGATAATCGAGGGGCTGGTACGGGTGGGCTTTCCGAGTCGTGCTGATTAGCCATGCGACTGAATAGTTCCACGATGTGAAGAAGGCTGTCATCATCCCCAAAGAGCTCAGCAAGGGCTGTATCGCTCATATTACGCAACCGATGACCGGTGATGTGCTTTCGTCGAACTTGACCTGCTCCACGAGCATGAAGGATGCGCAGCAGCAGCAGCAGTGAAGAATGGACAATGACGTGGGCTTGCGTTTCGTGAAAGGGCTGTCTCCGTTGCATCCTGGGATGAGAGAGAGAAACGAACAAGGTGGGAAAGGCACGTACCGGCAAAGCGATGCAGGTCATGCATGTTGAGCCATTGAACCACCTGCTCCGTGCTATAGCGATCAAAAGCTGAGAGCGAGGGCATGATCGAAATACCCAGGGGCTCTCCAGCCACCGCTTCGTGAGGAATGGATGGCAGCGCTCGACTCGCAGCGGGGGAATCAGGGGACGGTATGCCCGACATGGGCACGTCGGAAGCAAAGGACGAGCGCGAGTGCGTTGAAGGTGGCAGGCTCCACAGTAAGGGGCGCTATTTCAGTACAGTTGGGGGCAAAGCACATTAAATGTGAATGGGACCTGAAGGCAAGACCATGCATACTGCATTTGAATGAGTAGCGGCGAGAATGAGCACGCACCAAGAGGCAAATGAGTCCAGGATCCTTGACAGTGCTCAACGCGTCAACAAATTGGTTGAGGTTGCCCATTTGCTCCGTCGGGTAGTTGTCTAGCAGCCACGGGCCATCGCGAGTCTTGATCACGAGGTGATGCTCGATTTGGCGACCGTAAACCAGGGAAAGGGCAAAGACAGCCTGCGTTTCCGTGACAGCCTTTTCACGCACAAGAAAGATGCCGTCCAAGTGCATGCGGTGGCGCAGTTCGCGCTCGGCATCAAAACGGCTGATTCGGCCACGTAGCCACTGGGGCTTGGGACAGCTTGTGTCCAGGTACATCGTCTCAGGCATAGGTGGCCCGGCAGCTTGATACTTGCTGGGATCAAATTCGATGATGCCCCCCAGCGCACGCAATTGCCGTACGTCAACATTGGGAGGCGTTGAAACTCCACCAACTGCCAGCAAGTTGATCCCGGGTAGCGTTGAGACGGGCCCAGGTATGGGTGGTGTCACAGCCGGAGGCGGTGTGGTAGCCGAGGGCGGTGAACCCACCCCCACGGGCACCTGATATTCGGACTCGGGGCGGAAATTGGGACCTGGAGTCGGCACCGATGTGGTCAAAGTGTTTTGGACAACAGGCTCTGTTTTTGCAAGCGAGGGGCGCGGTGACGGCTGCGGGGGTGTTGGCAATGACGTTTCGACCTGAATGTCAATGACCTACAACGCAGCCGACCAGGTGTGAATGCAGAATAAAAGCTAAATCGGCCTAGAACTAAGTGTGTGTCGCGCTAGAAAAAGACATTTGGTCAAAACGTACCGGCTTTGGGCGAGCCTTGGCCACGCTTTGAGGTGTGAGGGATGTATCGACTCCGTTGCAAATGCGCACGTCCAAGTCACCAAGTTGATAGGGGTGCTGGCAGGCCAAGGCAGCTTTCAGCTCAAAGTTGCCGATGGGCTGCTGTTTGAAGTGCTGAATGAGCTTATTCAAGCTGTCGAATGACAATTCTGGGTGACCTGAGACGGCGTAACAATGCTGTGGGCCATGCCGCAGACAAAGGAAGGTGGCGCGGGTGAGAACATGGTCTTAGACGTCGGGCGGCATAATGCTGCCTGCCCCTTTGGGCATGGCCCAGTCATACCGTACCGTCGTGGTGTTCAGTTCTATTTTGAAGTGCTGTGTGCGCGTCGGTGTTCTCATGGCCAGGGCGTAGCCATGATACGCTTGGCAAACGCGCACCAGAAATGTGCCATCCTCCGTATCTTCCAGTAGCAGGTCAGCCCCGGTACGATCCAGCAAGCCATGGAACCAGGAATAGACCTGAAACTCAGCGTCGCAATGATTACCTACGCATAGAGCAGGCATACGTTGACCAGATTGACTGCACTTTACGAGCAACGACACCGAAAACGGCCAAGGGTCGGGGGCGGTCAACTTGACACATTTCCCATCATGGCCTTGTGATCAACGAGCAGTCCATGGGTTTTGAATGCTTTTGTTGCTTGCGTTGGCTGTAGAAACGGAAACGTACCGAGTGGGTGCTCATGGCGAAGCCACCATCCTTCGACGTCACGGCGAGACTTGTGGATTGACTTGAAAAAGTCCTTGCGATCAAACTTGTTGATGGCTTTATGTCGTTGTCGGTCACGATGGGCGGAGGCGCGAGCCTGTACCAAAGACACACGCTCGCCATCGGCGTCCGCAAGTGCAACTAGCGATTGAAAGATGACTTTGCTCACACCACGCATCTCTTGGAAGAACGTCATGGCCAGAGCCCGGCGTTTTTGTTGCTCGGCCTACAACGACAGGAGCAAGCACATGAGAACACAACGTGTTGGGACCGAGCATTGTTTCTTTGCCAAGACTCGCCTGCATCTGATGGAAATGTCGCCGGGCATGGTAGCCGCGCAAGCAGCTCTATATTTTACCCATATGGCAGACAATGGCAAAAAGTGAGTGCCGGACAGGTATAGCATGAGCTGGAGGAAACCCGTCGCCCGGTGTTGGTTCAACGTGCCTGCAGGGCCGTTGCCGCAGCATCGTAGTGTTGGGTGATGGCCTGCAAGGCATCCAAATGCCAATACTTGAGAAAAATCTTCGAGTGCCCCATCTGCCAGCCATCTAGCCTGGGAAGACGATCCTGAAGCTGTGAGCATAGGGACGTGAGCCAAATGCGCTTCAGCCGTTATGGGGTTGGTTTGATTGACAAAAGGCACGGCAGAATGCAAGAAACAAGATGCACCTGTTCATTTTGTGTCCGAAGGAACTGCTCAGCAGCCTGCAGGATCACACGACAAGCCTCAGGGTTGGCTTTGACATGAGTCGTATGGGCAAAGCCAATGTGTCGGTAGCTGTGCTCCCACCACCAGTGCGCATCATATGAGCCATGAGTCTCACCGTTTCGACACATGCGATTATCGATGCTGCTCAAGCTACCGGCCACAACTAGCCACCTTACCGTCGGACAAAATCAGCAAACACAATGCGGTGCGAGTAGCCTTCACGTCGAATACGCGTCGTCTCTAAAACACCGGTGTAATTGAGCTGCTTCAACACCAGCGCACGCTCTAGTTGATGCCGACAAAACAGCCGTGAGTTGAGCGACAAGCGAGCAAAAGGACTGACGGCGGCTCACACCGGTGGGGCGAGGAAAGACACAGTTGATAAAAACACACCAAAAACTTTTGCTTCACACGCCGCATTGGAACGGATGCAGCGCACAAAGTGCGGGTTGCAGCGCTGCATCCGTTCAATCAACTCGTCCAAAGAGGTCGCAAAGCGGCCACTCAGTGTGGTGCTCTGATCTCGGACAAACCATCGAGCGCCGTGAGTTAGTCCTTTGGCCTATGGTGCGATGAGCAGCCGGCAGCCTTGCTTGGTTGATCGCCTAGTACGTACCCCTGATGCTTGCAGATGGCGACGCGTTGCGCTTGCGGTCTCAGCCACAGGAGGAGGTGCGGTCGTAATGTTGTACGAAGAACGCCGAGGGCGCATCAAATTAAGCAAGCTAAAGACACACGCAAGACACGAGCGACAAATGGTAAAATAATGACCAAGCAAAAGCAGAATGAGGCCCTGACACTGACAGCAATCCCATAGCTCTTCGGACAGCGGCGAGCATACCTGATGGCTGAGCCACGTCGTGTCCCCACCTCTGCAAACGCACCGACGCAAGTGCAAAACATGCTCTGAGAAGGCTGCGAAAGCAGGTCGATAGGATTTGCACCACGAAACCTGAGCGTACCGTTGCTGCCATTTGAAAGCCTGGTCTGTGAGGGCTGGGAGGGTAAAAGGTCATAGCGACTGCCGCTTTGGGAGGCTCGACCACTCCGACGGCCGGGCGCGGGTAGCAGCAATGCAGCTGAGCTTGAGCGTCGCTTTTGACGAGACACGGCTCGCGACTGAGGCAAACTTTCGTTTGCAAACTTGTCGCTGCCCAGTCCAAACATATCCTCCAGCACCACGTTGCTGCCAGAGGCCAAGACCTCGAGCATCTGAAGGCCATCGGGCAGAGGGAATGCCCATGCAAGTGCGTTTCGCGCGTCCAAGAAACAAAAATAAAAAACAAATAAAAAAATGAGCTGGCAGAGCTGGGATGCGCCGTGTTTTGGCCGAGCAAGAGAGATTGGATTGGGCATGAGGCATGTACTAACAGCCGGCGACAAAGGATCACGATTTTTGGCCAAGAAACCATGCACATCGTAAGTAATGGTACCAGCAAAGTGCCGCACACCAAAGCGATCAGCGTGTTTGCAGGTGAGGTAGACTGGATCACTTCCCAAGATGTTGTTCAGCTTAACAACCAGGGTTTCATCCGTAGCTACGGTTCGGCCAACGCAGCAAGGTGGTGAGGACTTTCTTGTATGGCTGCATGGTGTACTAATGAAGAAAACCATGTGGCTTTCAGCGAGCCCAGATGGATTGTCACCGTCCGTACCGCTCGTGAAACGCGACTCCTCGTCCAGTAACTGCAAAAGCCCAGGCTGTGGTTTGTTGCCGTAGAAGAGCAGAAGAGTGGGAAGATTGTCTTGGAACTGTAGGTCGTCGATGCCGATTCCTTCGGCCTGCAGATCCTGCAGCTCGTTACTGAAGATGTTCTGCAAGTGTTGGACGCGAGAGGGGGTGGTAGTCGGGCAAGACGGATTAGCACCAACGGACGAGGGCGTACATGCGGCTGCACTCGTGCAAGACAATGCACATGTCGCAGAGCTTGACCTCATTGAAATAAAATTGAAGTCGTTCGTTGGCAAAATTGATCATCAGCTGCTCGAGGCTGTTTCGCTCGAAATTCTCAAACCCAAAAATGTCTATTCCAAAGCCAAAAGCAAGACGGTGGGCCGTTTATTTACGACGTAGAAGAGCAGCAGAGGGTTGGGGCAAACTGACCTAGGATGCCGATACCGAGGTCTGTACGGGTGGCGGGCTGGGTGGGCGTCAGCAACGTGTCCAGGTTTTGCATGAGCCAAGCAAACAGATGGCCGTAGAGCGCCTTGGCTAGAGCATCAACCACAAGTTCGGCTTCATGTTGCGTATGTGGACGGTGATACGTTTCACCGCGAATGTGAATGCGGGCCTTCAAGAGAGCTTCTGCCAGCGAGCCGAGGGTAACCCCCAATAGGCTCGCAATCCTGCCAACCGTCGCCACGTTGTCAAATTGCGCATCGTCGTTGCTGTCTTGCTCAATCACAATATCGCCGGTGTGCAGCACAGCTGCCAAAATGCGCTGCAGCTCATGGACGGCGTGTTGGGTTAGCCCAACGTCGTGCAAGGATTTCTGCCGTCGGACACAGGGTTCATGTTTTCAGTCCGTGAGGACAACAAAGTCAGGTAGGACAACAAAGTCAGGTAGGTCAACAAGGAGGACGGAGATGCTGGGAGGATGGCAGGAGCACCTGCAAGTTTTGCCAAGCCTTTGCCGCCTCCGGATCGTCAAGGCGTGGGACCTCATCGCCAAAAAACCTAATGATGGCCGGCAGTGGCGTGTGGGTGCGTGCACGTGTATTTCGGAAAGATCCATGCCGTAAGCCGATTCATTGACATGGAAAAAAGGGCGGCGTCAGGCGCCCGTACCGATGCAGGTTGGGATCAGGCAGCTCCAGTTGGGCACGCTCGCTTGCTGAGAGACCGGCATACATGTAGTAAAAAACATGATAATTACGCTCGCCAGTCACGCCCGCCACGGTACGGCTGTGTTCAAGCAAGTAGTGTCGCAGCGTCGCACCAACGAGCACGCAGTTGGCGTCAAACTAGTAACGCCACAGCGGCGCGCCCCCGGTGTCCTTGTGAGAAACACAAACAGCAGCCTGGGTTCAATACAGTGGGTGGCTAACTTTGAGTTCTAGATATTTGCCAAAGCGGCTGGAGTTGGCATTGGCTGATGTGCTGGCGTTGCCAAAAGCCTCGAGGATCGGCGAAGTCTAATGTAGATTGCAAAAAGACAGCAGTCAGGGGCGTGCGTGCTTTTATTGCGGTTGCGAAGGATGGAGGGAAAGGATCACAGGGCCCGAGTCGCACTTGGCTGATGCGGTGATGAATGTCATGAAAGGCAGCAGCGCCAGGACGTTGGTGATTGGCCAAGTAGATGACGTGCTGCAGAAAGTATTTTGATGTTTCTGTTTTGCCGGCACCTGATTCGCCGGAGATGACGCACACCTGTTGGTGCAGGTAAGAGGGGGCTGAGACTTTGTAACAGAAGGTTGAAAACCTTTTACACTTTAGTTTATTACTGCCATGGCTCAACGGCGGGGCGTGAGCAGCAGCATGGCCTACCTGCGATTGATTCTGGCTGACCAGCGAACTGTATGCACGGTCTGCTAAAGCGAAGATGTGTGGCGCAAGATCCCGACCAGCCGTGTGTGTGTAGTTGGCGTGCGCAGCCTCGCTGTAGATGCCGATGTTACGAAAGGGGTTGAGCGCGACCAGAATGTCACCCACGTATGTCTATCGTCCCATTCGAATCTTGTGTCGTGAGAAGAGTTTTGCGTACGAAAGGGCATAAACTTGCAGACACGTGGGGTTGAAGCCGGGGAACGGCTTGCGGTGGCATGCTTACATAGATATCATCGTGCGCGTAGCGAGCTGCCAGAGCCTCGCAAATTGTTTCGCTTGAGAGCTCCTCGAGGCTGGTAAGATCCTGCGTTGCGGCAAGGCTGGCGGGCTCGATATGGCTTGTCATCTTGCCTCTGGACGCCTCGCTGGCGATCGGAAACGTCAAGCGCGGCCAATCCAGAATGCAACCTTCCCCACACGCAGTCCTTGGTTTCTCTAGCGTGTCTCATGCAAAATCGCGGCAGTCAAGCACCACACATGTTGTCCGCTGCCGTCTTGAATCGTCTCGCGAAGGAAACGCCCCATCAAGGTCAAGCACACGCACAGACACCACACACACGAAAAACAGATTTTTTTTTTTTTTTTTTTTTTTTTCAGATTTTAGAGAGATCGACGGAACGTGTACGTGTGTGTATACATTCTATCTTCCGTACACGACTCTGTCTTGATGTTCATTGTGTCGTGTGTCGCGTGTCGTGTGTCTGCCGTTGACGATCTTCTGTCTTTTGATTTGGATGACGGGACACTGGCTGTGGTTCTCCGATCCGACTGCCCAACCTCAGTGAGGAGGGGTCCTGCGTTTCTGTAACGATCACTTCCGTCCCTTTGGATCTGCAGACAGGACGGACGACGCAGGTGTGAAACAACCTGAGTTTCGATTTGACGAAACCAGTCAGTGTGTTTTTACCTTGCAGAAGTTTATATCAATTTGTCGGCAAAAGTTAATTTCCAATGATTCAATTTCTCACAGCAACGCGAAGGCGCTCTTGCGCAAGAGCCGATCCTTCACTGCAGTTCTGCTTGAAAGCGCATTTTTCAGCTTGCAACCTGACCTGCGAGATGGGTGATCGCTTCTTTGGTAAGTGTTACGTACATGAGAACAAAAGACTCAAGGCCGCGTGGTGCTTGCTGTAGTGAGCGCTGGTGTGTGTGTGTGTGTGTGTGTGTGTCGGTCGTGTGACCGGTCTCTCTCTCTCTCTCTGGCAGCCCGGACCTCTCTGTTCGGGCTTGGCGCTGAGCGCTGGAATGGCAAGCATGGGAAATGCATTTCAGAATGGAACACAGTGTGCTGGTCGAGGGCTTGGTCCCAAATGCTGGATTGCTCCTCGATATTGGTGTGCGCTCTTCCCTGAATCGAGAGTTGTTGTGACAGCAGCGAGTAGCAACGGTCGAGCAGTCGAGCAGCCTCGAGGCATCAGCACCAGATGCCGACCCCGCACCCTTCCGTTCATACCATCTCAGACTTATTTTCATACCACCCTCATTTGTGACCCGTTGGATCATAGATCGTGACTTTTCCAGCGGTGGCAGCGGTGGCTTTGATCGCCGTGGCCGTGGTGGCTACCAGCAGCGCGACAACCGCGGCTTTCAGGACCGTAACGGTGGTGGCCGGTACGTATTCCCAGTCTACCCCGACACCACAACGCTTGAGATGTGAACGCCCCACTTGTCTGGCAGAAAGCTGCATTCTTCTGCCAAGCTGTTCAGCGTTTCCACCCCCAGTTGCCTGAATGATACATGCTTGTTTGATGGCTGTCTCATTTCTGTCGGCTTGTGCGTGCACTTGATGCCTTGGGTAGTCGGCCCTCGCTTCCCATCCCCGACGAACCTCCCTTTGAGGTTTTTGTTGGCAACCTTTTTGACGGTATTGTCGAGGGCGATTTTGAACAGTACATCTTCCCCGATGCCAAGGTCGGTGTTTCAGGCGCACCTGCTGACTGCATCGTTCTCGGGTGATTTTTCGAAGCTTTCAAGCTCAATGCTGCGGCTCGCTTTTACTCACGCCAAACTCTGGATTCCAAGCACAGATTCGATCAATCCGTATGGTCCGTGACCGCATGACCAACAAGTTCAAGGGCATCGCTTTTGTTGAGTTTGAAGACCGCCAATCGCTTGTGGCCGCTCTTGAGCTCGATGGCGTTGTACGTGTCTCGTGTTTGGGCCCCCGCCCTGCTGCTTTCCTGCTGCCTCAACGATGCAGATACCCTTTCTCTTTCTCTTAAAGCGACATCCGTCCGTACCTCACGCTTCCCCATTCGCCCGCTGTTTAGGAAGTGAACGAGCGTCGCATTCGTGTGAACGTGTCCGAGGGCAAGGGTGCGTCCAGGTCCCTCGTCTCCTTCTTTCTTGTTCAACGGCTACTCGCGTCGGCTTTTCGCCTTGATTTTGTTCATGATTGCATTGCATTGCTGCTCGGCGTACCTTATTTTTTTTTTAGGCAAGCGCGGTGATCGCAAGAATTTCCGTGAAGGCTCGGCTGGCGGTCCACCCTCTGGTGGCCCTCCTCATGGCGGCCAGGGCGGTCGCTTCCAGGATCGCCCCCAACATGATCGTCGTGACGGTGGTTACGAGCGCCGCGACGGCGGCTACGAGCGCCGTGATGGTGGCTATGGACGCCGTGATGGTGGCTTTGACGGTCGCGGCCGCAGCAGCGCCTCTGAAGACCTCAAGCCAGCTTGTAAGTGTAAACCGATCGCCCATCCTCAACAGACGAACATCAGTTCTCTGCCGACTGATCGTTTCTGTATCTGTCTGGCTGCCCTCTTTCAGCAACCACTCCGGCTCCAGGCCGCCCTCGCCTGCAATTGAAAAAGCGCACTGTTGACACCCCCGTCGGTGCCGTGAGCGAGACCGACAGCGCTGTTTTCGGCGGTGCCAAGGTGAGCCTGCTACGTGGCCTCTGGCGCCCCACAATCATTTTGCCTTGCATTGAGAGCCTGCTCCAGCTGGGTTGCAGTGGTTTGCTCATGCACGCGTCGATTTTTGTAGCCCAAGGAAGAGAAGGAGGACGCTGCCAACTAAGGTCAGTGATTTGGTTGATGAGGCGAGTTTGCTTCCCTTGGTCGAGCAATATTGTTGGTATCAACATCGTTCCTCACTTGATCTATCCTGATTCTTGTGGTCCGTAGTGTTTTTCTGCCATCGTTCTCTGTCGTCTTTGCGACTTCTAGGAGTGGATTGAGGACAGGCGGAGGAACACATGCATATCCCTTCCCCTCCTTCTGCGCCGCTTTCCAGCACAGCTTTCCCTTAACCTGCCCCTCTTTGCAGATGTGAGCCAAGCAGCGACGATGGGCACGCTTTGCATCGTGTTGAGTGTTGATACTACGAAGGCTCGTCTGCACTTTGACCTTGTCAGATTAGCTTGCAAGTGGCTCAGGTCATCAAGCCCTGATTCCCTTCCGATTGTCTCCCCATTCTCTTGTGTGTACTGGTCGTGGTTGGCTTCAGACACCTGCTTGTATCCGCGATCCCTTGTCCTGATTTTTTCTTTGGGATGTCCAATTGAAGCACCATCTTGACTGCAAAGTGTCAAAGCAAAAGCATGCTCGCGAAGTCTCTCATCGGTATTGAAGCGTGCGAACCATTTTTTGCGCCAGACGTTACTACCACCCCCATTCACATCGTTACATCGGGCCGCGGGCCCCGCGTTGTATATCTGAGCAAAGGCTTTGCAACACGTCTCTCATTCATACTCGGCTTCGCTTTCCTCCTCAGACTCCAGCTCGTTCTCAAACTAGGCAGCACAAGGGGCCCCGAGTGAGAAAGATACCGCGCTAAACCGCGTCGAGATTGGCTTTTATTCATACGCACCATTGCTGTTTCGTCCTCGTCCTCGGCCGTGTCTTTCACCAAGTAGCTGTCAGTCAACCAGGACGCCTCAGCCTTGCTGGTTTGGTGCTCCTCCTCAACCTCCTCCTGCAAAGAAGTTGGGATTGTGTACATTGACCATTTGTCAGAAGCAGTCATGGGATAGGGGCGCCTGATTCGGCAAATTGACAATCGCTCAGACATTGTACATGGCAAAGCTACCTGGTGTCCGGATGATTTTGTGCGCAGGAGGTCCAGAAATCCAGCCTTGTCCACCTTGGTCGCACGTCGCGCGGTTTCCTCCTCGCGTTGCTGCGACTTGACAGCGTTGAAGAGCGCGACGGCGCCACGAGTAGCGACCCGCAAGAGCGCCCGCTCACGGTCTTGCCGGAAGTCAATGGCCTCGCGATGCTGATCATCAACCTTTTCACGCTTGGCTCGCAGAGCCTCCTGTGGGTCGGCAGATTGCGCACCAATCAGATGAGCAGGCGGTGTCAGAAAAGGTAAGGCTGGGTCGCGGGCGCGGTCAGGCGGAAGACAAGACGGCAGTTTCAAGACGTACGCGCTCTCGTCGCTCGGCCAGTTTCTGAGCTTGCACAGCCTTGATGGTGGGCAGATCACGGGCCAGAAAGGGATTAACTTTTGGGCCCTTGGATTCACCCTCATCCTCACTCTCCTCATCCGCTTCTGCATCCAGCTTGTGGGCGGAGGTGCGGGTACGCTTGCCAGTGCGTTTTGCCGGTGCTTCAGCCCCGAGCAACTTGGCCATAACATCTGTCATGGCTGCCGCTGTTGGTTCAGGCAGAGCATCGATTTCTTGATCAGAAATCTCAGCCTCGGCCTCATTACCGGCCTCATCGCCGCTATCCTCAGCTTCATCGTCGCTTGCCCCCGCATCGTCGTCAGAGCCGTCGGCAGCATCCTCATCAACGTCATCAAACTCGTCGCCCTGGACGTCGCCCATGTCCCCATCACTATCTAGGTCCTCTGCATCTGCTAGCGGCGTATATTCCTCCTCCTCCTCTTCCGAGGTTGGAACCTGCTCGACGGCCTGGCGCACGGGGCGCTCACTTTGCTTGCTTTTGCCCATGGTGTTGCCTTGCCACCGCTCGAAAAAGACCAGAAAACAGGCGTGGACACGCACGACCCGGCAAGCTTATCCGCGACTGCCAAAATGAACCCAGTTCCCAGCCGATGGCCACCAGCACCCAGCAGCCAAGACAATCGTCGATGCTACACTCGGCGTCCGTGATGGTCGACAACCCTGCGCGTGAAAAAACACTCACACACACATTCACTCACACATTCACTCACTCACACACACACACACACACACACACACACACACACACACACGTGTCAAAGTCTCTCTCTCTCTCTCTCTCTCTCTCTCTCTCTCTCCTCTCTCTCTCCTCTCGAAGAAACGTCTGACAATTTGAATCTGACATGAACAGTGTGTGTATTTTTTAACTGTTGTTATTGTTGTATTTTAGTGTTGTTGTGGCGGTTGTGATCAGTGGGCGACTCGATCGACGGCAGCGGCTCACATTTCTGGCCTTGGGGCCATCTGAGCAAGTTGTGAAGGCGTTGCTACCACAGCACGGCCAGTGGTTTTGGGTTGATACTTGGTCCAAGTGAGTACCAAGAGTACATAGGTCTGCTTGGGCCAAATTGTCACGGCTATCCCCACAACCTTGCGAGCTCGACCCCCTGGTACGGGCAGATTGATGGATTGATTGACTGACACCTGCTGGGGCATCCGTGCAGAGCCGTGCTCATCCAGTGCTGGACCACGGACTGACATCATGGGCAAGAAGGAAGATGGTGAATTGCTCAAGGCTGCTGCCTCGGGAGATCTGCAAAAGCTGATGGTTAGGTGCTCAGCCTTGTGTGCGACTGTGCTCTCGATGGCTACTTCTTCGACTCACCTCAATCCTTGTTCAAACACAGGGCATTCTCACGGGTCAAGTCAAGCCTTCCCTGTTGGGGTCGATCAAAAAGCGCCGCCCTCAAGAAACACACAAGGTATGTCTTGTGGCTGGCTTCTATCTCAGCCTTGTTGGTCTTGATCGCGATGGCCGTGCTCACTTTGCACCACACAGGCCGTACATCTCAAGGACCACAATGGCCAGCTGATTCCACAACAAGCCGCGCCCAGTGTGCGCATGGATGTGCGCGATGAAAATGGCAACACTGCACTCATCAATGCCGTCCTTGCTGGTGAGTGTGCCTCACTCCAACCCCGCCCCGAGCAACAGTCGGCGCCCTCATCCTTGCCGCATCTGGCCCCTGCTTCCAAGGACACATTGATGTTGTGGAGATGCTGCTCGCTTTCGGTGCCAACGTCAATGCCCAAGACTCGCAAGGGTGAGCTGAGCCACATGCCTTTGCGATGCCGGCAGGGTGCTGCACCTCATCCCACCACCGCTGCGCCAGCAACACCCCCCTACACATGGCAGCATGGCAGGAACGTGCAAGCAGCAGTGACATTGCCGAGTTGCTGATGAAGCTCAACGCTGATCCCAACATCATCAACAACTCTGGCGCCTCGCCTCTTCATCATGCCGCTCAGGTAGGCCTGGCTGGGCTGCCAAGCGCGGCCATGTATACCAGCGTCTGGCAAAATGCACCGATTCACCCTCTCATGCAAATTAGACGGGCCACACATTCATGCTAATCCTATTGGTGGACCATGGGGCTGACGTGCACGCACGGACCGATGAGGGTGATACGCCCCTGGACATTGCTGTGCGCTACAACCGCAAGGATGCCGTTTCCTTCCTCTTGGATCACGACGTCAAGGTGGTGCACTCCGTTAAAGCCCTGAGCGAGGCCGCCAAAAAGGGCAAGGCCGAGCTGTGCCGCCTTCTTCTAGACATGGGTGCTGACGTCAACGCCCAGGTGAGCCTGCATCCCAAATCTTCCTCAATATGGCAGTCGAACTTTTCCCGGCATCTCAATCACCTTGGGTTGCTCTAGGACCCCGACTCCAAGAACACGGCCCTACACGAGGCCGTGCGCTACACGAGGCCTGACGCGGTTGAGGTTCTGCTGGCCTTTGGCGCAGATGCTTACAACCCCAATGGGGACAATGAATCGCCTCACGACATCATCGAGGATTACCAAGACTCTCCAGCCAAAACTCGCATTTTACAGCTCATGAACGGTGGGCATAGTCGTGATCCATGATGTCGCAGCACCCCATGGCCTCAGTAAGCCCGCTCATCCTCTTGTGCCATCGTCAATGCTTATTCAGATTACAAGGACAAGCCTGTCCAGGTCCCGGCCATCGTGCTCAACCAGCGTCGCCAGCGGCGAGCCCAGGAAGAGGTGGCGCAAGATCGCGATTTCAACGACTACAAAACTGGCAAACGTTGGTGCCACTGGACTACAGACTTGCTTGCTCCTGGATCTCCCAATCATAGTGGCTGCGCCTTGAGCATCAGGCCCGTTGCCTTGCCCCTTATCCCCACCCTCCTCACTTTATTTAGGCAAACACCCCGTACTTCGGTGCTTGGATCGCTGGATTGAAGACAACAGCTCTTACCGCAGTCACGCGCATCCCAACTAGTGCGTGTGTGTGTCTGTGTCTGGGTCTTTGTCTGTGTCTGTGTGTGCTGCTTCTGCATGCGACTATGCTGACCGAAAGGACAAATTCCATTCGTCTCACGATTGCCTCATCGCCCTTCCCCTCTTCGTGTGCAGCCCCGTTACCAACGTGCTGTCCGAGGATCCCAGCTCGACGTGGCGTGCTGAGGGTGCGGGTCGCCAGTGGTTTGCACTGAAGCTCCCCAATCTTTACGTTGTCACGGCGTTGACGCTCACAATGAAGTAGGCGCCATCAACAATTGCCGCCCGTTCACACTATACTTGGTATTGGGGCCATGCACTCACATACATCCGGATTCTCGCAGGAGCGGCAAGACATGCCCAAAGGACGTACAACTGGAAGTGGCTGACGGATTGATTGGCCCGTGGCGCAGCGTCAAGAAATTTGAAGTATCAGCCGACGTGAATGACAACTTCACCACGTTGACCTGCCATGCAGACTGCTTCCATGCCAGCTCTCAATTTTGGCGTGTGCATATTCTGCGCAACCATGGGGCACACGAGACGTCTGTGACCAACATCAAGTTGTTTGGAGTGGACGGCCACCTTTACAAATGGTTTTCCGAAAACGGCCTGACCGACGTGTGTATTCGCACTGCTTCAACCCCGCCCTGGCTCAGCGCTCTACATCGAGTGCCTTGCTCATTGGGAATTCGCCCGATTGCGTGTGCTTCTGGTGTGTCCAGTATTATGAGCCTTTTCTCGAACGAGGCCTGAACCAAATCAAGGTATGCTTCAGTTCCGGTCATGTACAAGGCTGCGGGGTCACATCACAGGCATCTTCACTTGCGACCACTGCATGCTTGCAGGAGCTAAAACAAGCCAGTGAAGCCAAGATTGACAATCTTATTACACTGCCTGGTCACCGCAAGAAGTTTGAGTTGGCACGCAAGATTCTGACGGGCGAGGTCAGACCAATGTTTGAATCGATCTTGGCAACAAGGCACAAGTTAAGGCTGCCCGTGTTTGAGTGGATGACATGTCCTCACTGCACCTCTGCTTGACAGACCACGGGCTTTGATCGACTCGTGTTCTCGCGATTACCACCAACCAAAGTCCGGGAAGGGCAGGCGGCTGCCATGTTCGAGGTTCAGGCGAACCCTGGAGTCGACGAGGAGGTTGAAGTTGTAGTGCATGGCAATTGCAGTATCTCTGGCACGCTGCGCAAGCGGCTCTTGCCCAATGGCAGTCACCCATCGCTGGCATTTTTTGACGATGTCGTTTTTGCCTCTAGTACGTGTGCGCGGTTGGCTGACTTGACGCGGCCTTTTCACCGCGAGTGGTGAGCTGACTACTGTGTCTACCCCGGATGGCTAGGTGGAAGTTGCATGATTGAAGTGCGCAGCGTACGTGAGCCCGAGGCCATTTACGTCAAGGCGCCAGTAGCCACCGTTGTTGGTACGTGCGCTTGGATATGGCACGATGCTAGCATACGAGACAAGACCAGGTCGCATGGCGGGCTCACCAACATGGCGTCCCTACTTGGCGCAGAACCCATGCCGGAGGCACGCTCTGCTGTTGAGGTGCTGTTTGCTAACTTTGAGCACATGCTGGAGTTTTGAGTTTTGTCTAGCCCTCTTCTTTCTTCTTTCTTCTCTCTTTCTTCTTTCTTCTGGAGCGCTGGATCGCTAAGGCAGTCTTGAGGCAGTGGTGCAACGCCCTCGCCTCGGGTATGCGGCAGAGAAGGAGCAACGTTTGCCATCAATTTGTTTGTGTAAAGTGAAGATGGCGAATCAATAGTGGTGTATATGAAAGATATCTGGGGTGCTGGGTGAGCGAAGCGCCGAATTAGTTTTGCTTGTCGGCCTCAAATTGGCGGATCGGCTTTTCCTTTTGCTCCCACAGACCAAAGCCTCCAATCATTGAGGTGGCATTTGTGTAGCCCATTTTCTATGGAAACAGGGCCAGTGGGTGAGGAACAAGAAACAATAACAAAAGAAGCGATGCATCACATACACGATAGACGGGAGCAAACCTGGATAGATTCGGCGGCCAGAACAGAGCGCATGGCACCAGCGCAGTAAAGAACCAGGGACTGATCGAGATCGGGCACTTTTTGCTCAAGGACGCGCTCAAGGACGCCTCGCTCGATGGTCAAAAGGTTGGGCACATCAGCCACGCCCTGACAACCCAAGGAGATTCGGTCACCGGTCGTGGTTTTTTGAGGCTGTGTGATTGACAAACTGTTGGTCCTAGGACATTCCGGCGTACCTTGGCAATCCATTCGTCCTTCTCACGAACATCGACAAAGATGGTCTTGTCCTTGAGGGCCAAGGCCTGACAGTTTGGGCAACAAAATGATGCAAGCGTCAAGCGTTGTCAGTGGTCGGAGCCGAGCGACTCGCAAAATGGTTGACGAGCTGGGTTCGCCGACTGCACCCAGCAGAACTGACGTCTTCAGGAGTGATTTCCTTGATGTTTTTGCGGGCTTCATCGCACAGTTGAGCAAAGCGCGAGGCAGAGCGCACCTGAGGCAACGCAAACGCATCAGCGACAAGTGTTGAGGCAACGAGCGATATTTGGTGTGGCACTCTGCCAAAAGCAGTGTGCACCCCGAGCTGAGCGACATACCTGCGCAAAGCCCTTGACCGAAGCGCCCAATGGGGCCGAACGGGACACCAGCAGTCGCAACATCGTCCTCTGTACCAGAGAGTGCTTGAGAACAGTGACAGCAGCAGCAACAGGCACCTTGAAAAAAAAAGGAAGAAAATTATGGTTTTGTGTGTGTGTGTGTGTGTGTGTGTGTGTGTGTGTGTGTGTGTGTGTGTGTGTCTGTCTGTCTTGTCTGTCTGTCTGTCTGTCTGTCTGTCTGTCTGTCTGTCTGTCTGTCTGTCTGTCTGTCTGTCTGTCTGTCTGTCTGTCTGTCTGTCTGTCTGTCTGCCTGTGTGAAAAGGTAGCGTGTCAAGTCGATGGCATTACAAGAAGTTCAGACGGATGTGGCGCATGGCGGCTTCGTCTGCCACAGTATCATCCCTTCTCGATGCTGTGGTCGCACTGTTGGTCGCCGCCCGAGTTAAAAACGAGGAAAAAAAACACACACAGATAATGGCCGGATCATCGGCACGGCACACGACGAACAATCAGTCTAATTGCGCTTGGACATGATGCGCAAGATTTCCAAAAAGAGGTTGATAATGTCCAGGTACAAGTTGATGGCGCAGAGAATGTACTCTTCGGGGCTGAGCTTGTTGAGCATGAGCTGGGTGTCGACAACAATAAAAGCACTACACAAGCGGGTGCGCATATGCAAAGTGAGACCGGTCGTGAATGACGAACGGGGCGCAGTTACGGCAAGAGGGAGGAGCCTCAAGCTGAGAAGCCAGCTCTCAGACGTACGAGAAGAGAAGAGCGCCAATGACACTGTAAGCCAGCTCGACTGTACTGGACGGCGGAAAGAACCACTGTGCGAGCCACGAAGAAATGGGATTAGAGGAAAAGAGTGCGGGGCAACATGTGGTGTGGCGCATGACCGTGAGGGGCACAGCCCACGAACCATAATCAGACTAATGCCAATCATGAGCCACAAGCCTGTGACAAGAAAGCTATTCAGGAAGGTAAAGTCATGCTTGGTTTGAAAGGCAAAGGCCGTCAACCCCACGGTGATGACGGATGTCAAAAGAGCGGCTTCGATGACGACGGGCAGCTCGTAAAAGGTCACTAGCGTATTGTTTTGAAGGCATTAGCGGGCGAGCCGGCCTCGTTGCGCAAAAAGAAGAGGGAGTGGCCACGGTTGATGAGGCAAAGTCGATACTTACCGGTAGTGCCGACCACATAGGACGTGACCAAGGTCTAGTGAGAGGGTTGAGAGGAACAAGGGTGAGTCGGTTCATACCATGCTGGCACAAGAGGCGTGAGTGGTACGTACAAAGGCCGTGAGGAGCTGATAATTCAGGGGCGAGGACTTGCGAAAGACCATGAGAGCCACAGTCAGACCAATCATGACCCAGGAGGCGAGTGTGTAGATGGTGGGGCTACACACACGCACACACACGCACACACACACACGGACGGACAACGAGCTGCGTCAGACGAGGTCGGTCGAGAGCAGAGTCGCTGCGTGCGAGCAAAGAAAAGGAATCAACAATGCGGGCCAAGACCTGGATTGAACAAAGGTCTTGACGGTGGGGGAGCTGACGAAAAAGGCCGCCATCAAGGTGGTGCAGAGCAGCTGGGCGCAGACGATGCCGTAGACCTTGCGAAGAAAAGCCATGCGCACCTTGAGATGGCAGCTGGCAACATGAACGCCGTACATAAAGTCATCAGCAGCCGGAGCCGAGGGGGTAGCAGCATGACGGTGATCCGACGTCCCCATCGACTGAGACTGGAACTGCTTTCCCTCCTTCTGCTGGGAACCCGTAGCCATGGCCTCGGCATAGGACGGCAACAGCGAGGCCGTGGCGGGCGATGCCATTGCGCTGGCTGCCATTTCAAAGAACAATCCGCGCTCTCTCTCTCTCTCTCTCTCTCTCTCTCTCTCTCTCTCTGTAACTCTCAGAGGTGAGTGAGAAGCCGGGAAAATAAGCAAGCGTCAAGTAAATGCAAATGTAGAGATGCAGTTGGTGTCTTCAAGTAACGGTTTACATGTGTGGTTTCCAGAAATGTTATTTTAAAGGGGTGAATTCATGTACCAGATGCTGTTGTCAATGGTGTGCGTGAAACAACTGGGTTTCTTCAATCGTGTTTGTTCTCACTCTCTGGTTGTGTTCACTCCATCGATCCTCTCTCTTTTTCTCCTTTGTTTTCAGTTTATGCTGCCTTTCGGTTCTGCTTCCCTCTCTTCAAAATCTTGAGGCTCGCACTGCATCTCTCATGCTTCATCACATTCTCACTGCTTTCTCTCTCTCTCTCTCGTTCGACGAAAACACAAACATGTGTTGTGGTGTGGTTGCAAGGTTGTCTCTCTACACTTCTCCCGCCATCGTTCTCTCCCTTCTGCCCCAGTTTCTCTACTTGCTCTGAAAACTTTCCACGCTCACATTGCATCTCTCAACTGCTATTGATGTACGCCTGTTTGTAAATCCTTTCACCCAAGGTCTTAAACGCACCTCTGAGTACAACCAGCTCAACCAGCTTCTCTCTCATTTTCTTACCCCAACTGCACACTGTCTCTGCGTCCTTGCCGCAGCTCCGTGCGCACACACCGCTCGTCGTCGTCGTCGTCGTCTTCGTCTTCGTCTCCGTTGTCCCTGTCGTTATCACCGCCATTATGGCTGGTACGTTGGTGCTGGGGGCGGACTTGCGCAGTCTTGGGCCCTCTCTCAGATCAAGAGACCTTTGAGCACATGACAACTCACAACCATGTCTCATTGGGCAGCAGCTTTGACCGCGCGCCAGCTCGTGCTGCGCGCCACCTCTCGTCGTGCCCTCAGTTCGGCCGCCCCGCTGCAAGGTTTGTCGCTCGCCCCACACGAATGAAAGCCCCCGTGTTGTCCCTGTTGATATCGCTTATCAAGGTCTACCGCTTGTTGGGGGACGGGCCGTGGCAGCGCGCCGCATGGATTGGCAAGACCCTTTCGAGCTGGATTCACAGTTGACCTCGGAAGAGCTCATGGCCAAGAACACGGCCCGCGAGTACTGTGAAGCCTCTCTTCAGCCGCGCATCATTGAGGCCTATCGCACCGAAACGTACGCCAAGCACCCGACCAGCATCAAAAGATGGGTTTGTCGTGGTTGCACTCACCCCGACACGACCCTCGCTCCCGCCTTTCCAGGTTTGACCGAAGCATCATGAACGAGTTTGGCGAGCTGGGCATGTTGGGCAGCACCATTGATGGCTATGGCTGCCCTGGCATGAGCTACGTGGCCTACGGCCTGCTGGCCCGCGAGGTTGAACGCGTCGACTCTGCCTATCGGTGAGTCAAAGGCCCGTACTCGGACTTGCTCTTCCCTTTCCTGTACTCTAACAAACACACATGCCGGCTCGCGATTGTGTATGCGTTTGGTTTGTCCCCCCGCCCCCTCCTTTTTTTTTTTTTTTTTTTTTTTTTTTGTGGTCGACCGTTAGCTCGGCCATGAGTGTCCAGTCCTCGCTAGTCATGTACCCCATCCATGCCTATGGTACAGAAGCCCACAAGGAGAAGTACCTGCCCCGCCTCGGTACGTTTGAGCGCTTTGCCTGCCTCATGCCCGAAGCTCACAGCCTTCACAATAGCCGTTGACTCACCCATTCCTTTGGTTTGCCTGTCCCTTACAGCCACTGGTGAGCTCGTTGGTGCCTTTGGTTTGACCGAGCCCGACCATGGATCCGATCCCGGCAGCATGGCAACCAAGGCCAAGGCAGTTGACGGCGGCTACCTCCTCAACGGCTCAAAGACCTGGATTACCAACGCGCCCATCGCCGATGTCTTCATTATCTGGGCCAATCTCGATGGTGACATTCGTGGCTTTGTCGTTGAACGTGTACGTTATTCCCTTACTAGCCACCCTCGTTTACATGTTAATACCCGTCGACCCGTATGCCCTCGGCATACGAGCTAATGCAACGCTGTGGTTTAATTCGTGCACACAATTTTTTTTTTTTTTTTTTTTGTTTTTGTTTTTCCAGGACGGTTCTGAAGGCTTGACGACGCCCAAGATTGAGGGCAAGCTTTCCCTGCGTGCCTCGATCACTGTTCGTTCCCTGCTGGCGAAAATAAAAATCTCCATCCCGATGTAGCGCGCATGGAAGTCGGTTCAAGCCGCCATGTTTACCATTGCCTCCTCATCCACCTGTGTACGCACGCACGCACGCATCGTCCAGGGTCAAATCATGCTGGACAATGTGTTTGTGCCCGAGGAAAACCTGTTCCCTACGGTTAAGGGCCTTAAGGGCCCCTTTGGCTGTCTCAACAACGCCCGGTCAGTCTCCTGCCCTGCGTCGTAAAGGTGACAGGACATCCAAGGCCCTGGCTCATGAACTCTCCTTTGAATTTCAGCTATGGCATTGCTTGGGGTGCGCTGGGTGCCGCCGAGTCGTGCTTTGAAGTCGCCCGCCAATACACCCTGGACCGTCAGCAATTTGGTCGTCCCCTCGCAGCCAACCAGCTCATGCAAAAGAAGTTTGCCGATATGCTCACCGAGATCAACATTGGCCTTCAGGCCTGCCTTCGCGTTGGTCGTCTCCGCGAGGAGCACGGGTGGGTCTGCTAAAAGAGTAATATGGTTGGGGCCGCTTTTGTCACCTCTCGCTCGCTCACTCGCATCCGGTTTGCCAATGGACATCGCTTGGTCCGCGCCTCCAGCGAGTTCACGCCGGACCTTGTTTCCATGATCAAGCGCAACAGCTGCGGCAAGGCCCTGGACATTGCCCGCATGACCCGCGACATGCTCGGCGGTAGGTGACAGCCCCTCTCCTCCAAGCTCCCTTGTGCGCTGAATCCTTGCGCCTCATTCTCACCTCGCGGTAACTTTTCGGGCAGGCAACGGTATTTCCGAGGACTATCATGTGCTGCGTCACGCCATCAATCTCGAGACAGTCAACACCTACGAGGGCACGCACGACATCCATGCTCTGATCCTCGGCCGTGCCATCACTGGCCTTCAGTCCTTCAAGCCTTGAAATTCTACTCCTGCCTGAAATTGACAATCATTCCTATGTGTCGGCCGCGTCCAGCACAAGCTGCTCTTTTCTCAAAAGACGGTCATCGACCTTGGCGACAAGCAAAGGTGGAAAGGAAATGGTGCATGGCATCCAAGCCAGGGGAGCGCAGCCCATCACGACAAGAACCGAGCCTGCTGAACACCTAGGCCGGGGCATTATCGCCCATCAATCAACCCGACGTCAGTTGACAACAAACAATCTGCGTGTCTTTTGAATTTGATGCGGTCGCACTATCTTTGTCGCTTTACAAAGGCGCCTGTCAAGCCTGACACGCCGCTTTTCGTTGGTGCCGAGCTCCATGGCGCCTCGTTGCGCCATTGTACTGAAGTAACCCGGCATAAAGACAGGCCCGCACCAGTATCAACACAACACGGAACGAAGTCAATTCCAAAATCAAGAGAGGACAAAGAGTTCGTTCAATACGAAAATCTGATGCCCAAAGATGGAACAAGGCCTGGAATGGACTCTGAACAAGCGCTGGCCCTTGCGAGTGGCGCTGGCAAGTGGTTGCGTGGCGAGTGGTTGCGTGGCGAGCAATCTGGCTTGAGGAGATAAGGTCGATGGCTGCATTTTTTACCGCCAGTTGTTCAAACCTGACCTGCAACATGCCCGAGACCAAAGATACCTCTGGCAACATCTTGGTTGTGGTACGACGATGGCTCTCTTGTGCAGGCAGCCCTTGCTCACTTTCGGGGCACGCCTGGCTTCTCACCTTGCTGCGTGTGGCGTTGACCACCCTATCAGAACGTCACTCGGCCTGCGGGCACGTACGTCACCGTAGAAGAGAGCACCACCCACGCACAGCTCGGTAAGCCTCGTCCAACCAACCTGTGCTGCGCCCAGGGAGCAGATGGTGCGTGCGGATTGATCTTGTGTCGGGTGTTCTCATGTGCCGGATGGGGCTAACAGCGAAGCAAGTGAGCTCGGGGCTGGATGGCAAGGGTGGCTTTGACATGCTTCTGGGAGGTCGCGGTGGCTTTTCAATCATTCGCACCCTCAGCGTCCCCCACATGTCCTGCATTATCCAAGGTAAGCTCGTGCATTTGACACAACACAAAACACTTTGGACGCTTGTGCGCCTGAAGTTTCAGCGATTGGCTCACTGGCTCATCGCCCTGCGGCTAGTCAACACGCCCACACTCAAGAATGCCGTCAACTCGGAAACAGGTGAGTTCTCAAGTATGCCGCGGTGTGTTCGATCAATGGCTCATATGATTGGCGTGACAACGACTTGGCTGTGTCCCTGTTGATAGACTCGGTTCTTGAGTCCTATGGGGGTGATCTGATTAAGCAACTTTGCGCCAGTGCCTCGGCCCGCCGCATACCCCTTGCCAGTGAGTCCTGCCTTCCTTCACTCCCCCTTTCTGTTGCCAAGAGGTGAAGAATAAAAATATTTTCCTCATTTGCTTACGCCGCACCTGCCTGCTGAATGTGGGGCACTTGCGCAGTCATGCACCATGCTTCTGTGGCGGAGAAAGTTCGAACCCTGATGGAAAAGCTTGTGCAAAGCGTGGACGGTGGCAGTATGCTCAACTACCAGCTCGTGACATCTCCAGAGGCAGCCCTCGACTGGATTGCCATGAGCCTGCCAGCTAGCAAGGCTTCTTTAGGAAGCAAGATGAGCAGCAGGTCTCAGAAGATGTACACCTCTTCAACAAGCATCTTTGCTCGCGCCCTCTCTCTGTTCTCGTCCCGCTCCAAACACATGAGTTCTTCGCCGACCCCACGAGCTGAGCTTCAGCATTGAATGCTTTGATGCAATGCTTTGTCGACGCTACAAAGCGTCGACAGGAGCATCATGATTTAAGCGGGGTGGCTCCGTAGATGAGTCGAGTCTGATGCTGGCCTCCAGATTTGCTGCTGACCTCGATCTCGTCCACGCTAGACGTATGTGACTTTAAGATTGCTCTCCAAATCGAGGCACCATACACTGAAAATTGTCGGTGAAGTCTCGATCCTTGCGATTTTCAAACAAGAGACGTTTGCTGGCCAACTGGTTGCCAAGAGAAGGGCATCGCCCATGCATGGAGCCAATTTTGAATTCCAAAGTTGTGAGGCCGCGAAAATGTTCAGCAATCACCGAGTCTACACCGAATAGTAAAAACATTTAAAAAAAACACAGAAAAGACGATTCTACTTGTGGCGCGTGTGATTGCACCGTTACGAGTGACCGCCTAGGCCTGGCTAGCCAACTGAGCCATGTCGCTCGGTGACAGCACGTGATCATAAATGCGAAGATCGTCCAGAACAGCATCGAGAGCTGCATCTGATGCAGAAGCGGCCGACTTGCCAATATAGTTCACGTCGAGCCAACCGACAGGCATCTGCGCCATGTCCGTGTTGCCATTGACCACCTGTGCAATGCACACACATGCATGCATACCAGGCGTGAGTAGAAATTAAAATAGTTGAGCCACCCCATGAACATCGCGTGAATGAGATCCAGTATGATCAGGCGGGTTGGTCCGTACCTGGCCATTGTAAGCCAGATAGCCACCGGTAGAGTTGCTGAACGCGCACATGTGGATGAAATCATCCGCTGTCCCGGCAGGCAATGCAGCCGTGACAACCTGGCCGTTGATGTCCAAAACGAGCGCCTCTTGGGTCTCCACGCGCGCAATGTACATGCGATTGCCGTTCGTTCCAAAGTCTACGATGCGCCTGCGACACCCGGGGCAGATCGAACCAATGTCAGAATGGCCAATATCAGTGTAGACCTTGCCAGTCTGTAGGGAAAAAGGGCAAAAACGTACTCCCAACCACCAGCACGGCGCGTCTGAATCCAAGTGCAAATGGTAAAGTCACCGCCAAAGTTACGCGCGGGCAGCTGCACCCAACTGCCGTTGCCGGGCAGGTACAGGGCACCTGAACCAACGGCCACATTGTCGTCCTCGAAAAAGTGGTTCTCAATCTGGTAGTGCCAACAAGAACAAAGCGTGAAAATGAGTTCACATGAACACTCATCAGAACGAAAAAGGCAACCAACAAAAGAAAAGAAGAAAGAAGACTTACGTCGAGGCTGACCGGTACCAGCTCGCCGTGCCATTCGTTGCCGCTGGCGTCGCGCACATCGCCATCAAACTTCCAGTGTCCAATGAGACCAACGCAGTCGAGGTCTGAGCGGCCCTGGCAGAGCATGTCGTGCACAGCCTCGGGCGACAGAGCGTAGTTGTACACACGGTAGTCGTCCAGGTTGGCACCGAGGTAGCCATCAGCATCCCAAGCCGAGCGCCCAATGAAGATATTGTGGTACTCCTTGGCCGAGCGTGTGCGCACATCTGTCTTGCGGCCAACCTCCCGACCCTGGCGGTAGACGATGGAGACAGCACCCGCGTTGGTAAAACAGTAGTGCTGGAAGCCACCGTAAGCCCAATTAAAGCCACCCGCAACGATGAGGGGTGAGTCGACTCCGGGATCATCAAACAAAAAGGTAAACTCGAGGTTGGTGCTTTGGCCTTGGTTGCCAATGAAGATGCTTTCCGCTATGGGGAAGGAAGGGTATATGGCATGTGCGTGAGGAAGGCTGGAGGCGAAAAAGGTCGCAGACCATTTTCCTAAAGCAGGTCTCGGAGCCAGCATGAAGCACGCAATCTAAAACTCACGGCCGCCGTTGTTAAAGTCGGCTACACGGCTCCACTCGTTGAGGCTGCGGTAGCGTACCCAGCTGCAGACCTAAGGCAAGTGCAGGCGCACGCAGGAGAACAAGCCATCAACAAGGTGTCATGGCTCTGAATAATGGCGAGGATGGCGAGTATTTGAGATCAGGGCCACATCGAGGCGAACCGTAATGGCATTGTCAAAGGAGAGTGGCGGGGCGAGGATGTAGTCGTTGACGCCATCCAGGTATAGAGATGTGTTACCCTGGTAAACAAAACGATGACGATGATACATGAGATGACTATTTGAAGAAGCCAGTGCTGAGCAACGTGAAAGCAGAGCTCTGCAAACGGGGTCGGACCTCGGGTGCGTTGACTTGATAAAGGTTGATGGCATGGTGATTGAAAGCAACGCCGTCGTTGCCAGTTCCCGAAACATCACGGAGGGAATTCTCAAAGGTGTAGTGGAGCAGCAGAGCATCGCCATCTTGGGCCATGGCAGGCCGTTGAACACCTTGTGTCTATGAAAGGCCGTTCATGTGTGAACGTGAGAAGGGGGCTAGCTTGCACATGCTTGGATGCAGCCAGGTTTGTCAGGCCCGAACCTCGAGCGTGATGTCGGCGATTTGAGCGGGGGTCAACTCGCGCGACCACATGCGCAAATTATCAATGGCGCCATCAAAGTCGGGATTGCTACGACATCGTGACAAGGAAAGGCTTTGAGCAAAAGGAGAAAGCAGAAAAGCAAACAAAAACGAAAACGAAAACAAAAACAAAGAGGCTTGGCGGTGGCAGAGCTGCCGTCGTTGAATACTTACTTGCCAAAATTGGAACGGCCAATGTAGTTGGAAGTGCGGCGCAAGAAGGGGATGGTCTGTTGCTCAGTCAATTGCATAATTTGGTCACCGTTCTTGTACAGCTATACCACCAGCAGCGCAGAAGCACAACGTGAATGAAAAGCGGCGACACAAAAGGCAATGGGCTCTACGTGTACAAGAGCGGTCGCGTCGGTAATGGTGCCTCATACCCACCGTAAAAGTACCGTCGTTACTGGCCGTGACGCAGACGTGGCTCCAAACATTAGCCTCGAAAAAATTGTTGGATCGAATTTGAACAATGATGCTTTGTTCCTGGTACACCTCAAACCTGGGCGTGGTACACGTGGCAGATGAGTGGGGGCTGACTAAGAAATGAAGGATTGGGACGCAGGAGCAATGGGGAGATTGACGATGCGGACTAACAGAAAGTCATTGCTTGTATCGCGGTTGAGCATGAGGATGTTGCTGTTGCCGCCCTCCTGGGTGCCTTCTGGGGCGGTGCTAAAGTCAAAGATGCGCGAATAGAGGCCAAAGTTGTCAAACACGATGCTGACGCACACGGAAAAGGCACCGCCAATGACGTTGGGAGGCGCACGCAGGTGTTGTTCAGCACCACGCAGTTGCAATGCTGGTGAGCCGTCCAATCCAGTCTACCATACATGTGAGAGCGTGTGTGAGAAGAGAGAGGAGGAGCATCGTGTCATCACGTTGAGGTGTTGGGCAAAAAGTGACCGCAGCAACAAAAAAAAAAAAAAAAAAAAAGAGGCTTGACCCTTGGCCAAGCGCACAGCAATGAACAAGCGAGGATAGAACGGGCCAAACAGAATCCAATGGGAGCGATCATGAGAAAGACAACTTACACGACCGAAGAGTGTTTCCGAAGCAGTACCAAAGAAGAGAACATTGCGTCGGTTTGTGGAGAGGTCCCAGAGGTTGTTGTCAAAGGGCATGTGGAGAAGGTCGGCTTGAATCTGACAGGGGGCATGGGAGGCCAGGCTGGCCACATAACCGGCGATACACTCGGTGCAGGTGGCAGTCCAAGGCTCGCCCTTGATGCAAAACTGGGGCAGACCCATGGGGTGCCAGAAGTAAACATCACCGTTCCATGTCTCGGCGCGGCGACACGTCTGATCGGCGGCCGGTAACAACCAAAGGTGCAAGCGTGGGGAGGGGGTGAGCTAAAAGGGTGATGGCTTCCAGACGGCTTTTGGCACGTGCGACATGGAGCCAAGCGTGTCTGTGCGACGAGGAGGAAGACGTGCAAAGGAACCCACCTCGTACTGCTGCGTCTGGTTATTGCTACGCAAAACGCCAAGAACGGTGGCGTTGCAGGGGCCCGTCATGTTGGAAGAGGCAATGGCACCTGGGAGGTAGCGGTGGAGGTCGGACTTTGTGACAAAATCATCGGCCTCTGCCTCGAATGTTTGAAGAGCGGCGGAGACCGTGGCCAGGTCGGCAGCAGAGGCGGTCGAGGTCTGGACTTGGTCATCCAGGGAAGCGAGCATTGAGGCCAGGGAGCTGGGGTTTGAGGTGTCCGTGGTACTGGTGGTAAGGGCATCGGTATCCTGAACGAGCTGTTGCAGGGTGGCGTCTGCCCCGTTGAATGAGTTTTGAAGGGTAAAGAGATTATTGGTAGTGGCTTGGAGGGTGGTGTTGAGGGCGGAGATGAGAGCATTGACGTCGTTGGCGTCGGCCTTGGCGGCCACGTCGTTGAGAAGCTGTTGCACCACGTCGCTCTGAGAACCATGACCATCGGCCAAGTCTCGGAGGGTTTTGAGCAAATCCGTGTGGTCCAGAGCGTGAGTCTCGGGATTGTAAGTGCGGAGCGTAATGTTACCGCCCTGAATCACAATGGCCTGTGATATGCGAAAGCGGGTGAATAAGACAGCAATCAAAGGAAGGAAGGGGAAAGAAGAGGAAGAGGAGCATATCGAAAGTGCTCTCATCTTTGAGGGTATCCGGAGCGAGCGGGGGCAGACGGACCTTTTGGGCAGGGTCAACACCATTGGAGATGGTATAAATCTCATTGCGAAGCGTACAAGCAGTGTTGCTGTTGACCCCAACAAAGCCGTCGGCACACTTGCAAACGCCGTTCTCACGCGACTGGCGCGGATCAGGGCAGCCATCATCACCTGCCGTCCAAGGAGCCCCGTCAATCAACACCACCAAACGCAGCCAGCTGCTTTCACCGATATGCAGCCCCTTTTCTGACGAACGCACCTTGCACGACCGCAGGCCAAGCCACAATCAGCAGCATGGCTGCCAGTACGACGGCCTTCATGGCCATCATCGTGGCAAGTCAATTCGAGTATAGGTATCAAGCCCGTCGGGCTGCCGCTGCCATTCAGTGATCATTCACACACAGAGACTGTGATGCGCACGGGGAAATGCTCAAAGAAAACAGGTTTCGACATGTTCTGCTTCTTCAACGACGTGTGCTCGGGGGGGTGATGTAAGGGGCGTTGTGTTGTTTCGCTGGTAAGCTTCTTCAACAAGTCATTGAAATGCCTCGAAAGGCGAAACATCAACAAAAGTTGTTTGTGGTTGTCAAAAGCTGTGGGTCTCAAGCTTCCATACCAAGGCAAATCCCATTCTTCAAACAAGGTAGCCCCACGTTGTTGTTGTGGTGGTCCTTACCTTCGAATGGACAGACAGATGAAAAACAGTTGGTAGCGAGATGCGCTTGCACACATTTTGTGCTAACTAATATGCTTGCACCTTGAACCAGGTAGGGAGTCTGCCATACGTGATAACAAAGTACAGTAACAACATGTAAAGGAGAAGATAAAGGAGAAAGGAGGGAGAATACAGTCAAAACGCCTGGGATGCAATGCGCTCTGCCTTGCCGTGGGATGACGTGAAACATCGGATTGTGATACTGGGACTCCAGGCCCCAAACGTGCTCCCAACATTGAAAGGACTCTCCGCAGGAAAAAGTAAAACAGAAGAGGGAGGGGTGCACGTCAATTTGACGTCTAATGAGCCACAACCACCAGCGCTGGGCTTGCGCACAGTCATGGGGTAATACAATGTCATGTAGTAACAAACACGTAAAACACAACAAAGAACTCAAATATGCAAACATCAACAAAACAACAGTGTGCGATGAGCGCTCATATGGCGCAAACACAAAGAAGGGACTCCGCTTAGGCAGAGGTCATGCCGGCCAGTTGAGCAATCTCGCCCTGCGACAGCGCGTACGTGTACACACGCATGTCGTCCAGGACGGCGTCCAAAGGAGCATCGTTGTTGGACACTGCAGATTTGCCAATGTAGTTGACATCAGCCCAAATAAAGGGCAGCTGGACCATGCCCACGTTGCTGCCGGCCATCTGCACGTCATTGCATACAAGCAGGGGGGCGGGTTTCGAGATCAGCGTCCAACAGCCCCACGTCCGTGCTCAAGCAGTGCGCGCGTGTTACACACCTCGCCATCGAAGAAAATGTAGCCACCTGTAGAGTTGCTCATGGCACACATGTGGACAAACTCATTGGCCTTGCCCTCGGGCAGATCGGCAATGACAAAGGCAGCCGTTTCGCCGTTTTTGATGCTGAAGCGAATCGCCTGATCGCCAAAAGAACGTCCGATAAAGAAACGTTGGCTGTTGTCAGCCACGCCAAAGTCTGCAAATCGCCTGCGCATGCCCCACGTCGCAGCAACGCAAGATCGTCAGAGCACGCCTCTTTTTTTCTTTTCTTTTTTTTTCTCTAATCATGCACTGTCACACAACTGCAAAAGCATCGACTCACTCCCAAGGCCCGTTGCTGCGAGTTTGGACCCAGGTGCAGACCGTGAAATCACCACCAAAGTTACGCGCGGGCAGCTGCACCCAGCTGCCGTTGCCGACCAGAGCCAGGGCGCCCGATCCAATGGCCACGTCCGTCGTCTCCAAAAAATGATCTTTCACCTACAAAAGCAAAGACAAGCCACACAAGTAATCAGAAGCGCGCTCAGCAACATGGGCATCGCTCCCGGCCCTTTGCCATATCAAAGCCAGGAGGATACACGCCTATAGGCACCGGACGCACGTCAAAGCTCAAAGGCACCAGCTCGCCATGCCATTCGTTGCCGCTGGCGTCGCGCACATCGCCATCAAACTTCCAATGACCAGCAAGCCCCACACAATCTAAATCCGCACGACCCTGGCAGAGCATGTCGTGCACAGCCTCGGGCGACAGAGCGTAGTTGTACACACGGTAGTCGTCCAGGTTGGCGCCGAGGTAGCCATCAGCACCCCAAGCCGAGCGCCCGATGAAGATATTGTGATACTCCTTGTTCTCTGCACGAGCGTTGACATTTGTCTTGCGGCCAACCTCTTGGCCCTGGCGGTAGACGATGGAGACAGCGCCCTCGTTGGTGAAACAGTAGTGCTGGAAGCCACCGTACGCCCAGTTGAAACCACCCGCAACAGCAAGCGGCGAATTGCCGTTGACATTGTCCAAGAAGGTAAACTCAAGATCCGAGGATTGACCTGGATTGCCAATGAAAATGCTATCCGCTGTAAACACGAACCATTTTTGCAATTTGATGAGGACGATGAGGACAAGGCTCGACGCGGGTTTTCGAGGAGATCATCGACACCTGCCAAAGTGCCCACACGCCAATTCACATGCCTCTACTTACGGCCACCGTTGTTAAAGTCAGCCACGCGGCTCCAGGCGTTGAGCTCACGGTAGCGGACCCAAGCGCAGACCTGGGAAGACCCATCACATCAAAAGGTATTGGCCGTCATCACGAGTTCTGTGCGCGCGAGACGTGATGCCCCGAAATCTGCTCTTCAAAAGCGGGCATAAAGTGCATGCTGTCATTGTGTCCGGCAGCGGCGGGGCAAACTTACCGTCAGGGCATTGTTAAAGGTTAGGGGTGGTGCAAGAACATAGTCGTTGTCGCCGTCCAAGTACAAGGAGCTGTTGCCCTGTTTCATTGTAAACCATGTGCGTAGTTAGTTGACCATCAAAGAGTGGAAGCAAGTCCGAAAGAAGAGGTTCCAATTGAGTTGGTCCAAACCCGGCTGGGCGACGCCGGACAAAATGCAAATTGATCTTACCTCTGGTGAGTTGAGCTGATATAGATTGACTGCATGATGATTCAGGGCGACACCATCGTTGCCAAAGGCCGATGAATCTTGCAAGTTGCCCTCAAACTTGTAGTGAAGCAACAGTGCATCCGTGTCACCAGAGTATGCCACGCGCTGCACCCCTTGCGACTAACGAGAGACCAACATGCCGATCAAGTGAGCTTCCATCTGATCCCACAGGCAGGACGGGCATCGGACCAGCTCGGTTTGGGCACATGTGCGAGCATACCTCAAGGAAGATATCCGACACCTGCTCCGACGTCAATTCGCGAGACCACATGCGCAAGTTGTCCATAGCGCCATCAAAGTCGGGGTCACTACACGTCAAGTAAAGTGGGCGGGATATGTGAGCAATGACGGGTTTGTACTACAAAGAGAATGGCAATAGCAAATGTCCAAAAGAAAAACGCTGCGCGCGCGGACTGTGACACATCAAACAAACTTGGCAAAGCTGGAACGGCCAATATAGTTGGAAGTGCGGCGGAGATAGGGCAAAGGGGTGGCATCGATCGACTTAAGGTTGACGCCGTTCTTGTACAACTGAAATGCCCAAGCGGAGACGGGATAAACATGAGGCGCAAGGTATGTACATAATCATTCCACCCCTGTGAAAAAAAAAAAAGAAGGAATAAGAATTATTTTGGTATCGTCATGCTCATACCGTAAAATGGCCCGCCGCGTTGGCAGTGACGCAAACGTGTGCCCAGACACCCAACTCGAAAAAGTTGTCGTAGTCAAGCTGACTAACAACATTTGGACCAGAATAAATCTCAAACCTGTTGGTAGTAAAGCCGGGGTGTGGGGTCGGGGTACACGAACCAAGGAGGCAGAAAAAAACAAAGGTAAGTCAAAACTTTGGAAAAAAAAAAAATTGTGGGCAAAGAACCTGAGCTGGGTATAGTCTGCTGGAGATGGAAACGTACAAGAAAGTGGCCGAAGACTCTCGGTTGAGCATGAGAAAGTTGTTGTTGCCGCCGTTGCGCTCGCCTTCGGGGTTGGAGCTCCAGTCAAAGATACGAGAGTAGAAGCCGAACGCGTCATAAGAGACGTCCACACAAACGGAAAAGGCACCACCAATGGAGCTAGGTGGGGCCCGCAGGTGTTGGTCCGAGCCGCGGAGCGAGAGCGCAGGGGAGCCGTCCAGGCCCGTCTAAACATTGGTGATGGGGTCAGCCACCGCGATGAGGAGAAAGTGTGCTAGCCTCAAGATGTAGGAGGGGCTAAGCTGGGTGCGCGCGAGCAAGAAGAAAGGGAAGACAGAAGGACGGTTGACGCACGCGGCTGAAAAGGGTTTCGGGCGTGGTGCCGTAAAAGAGCATGTTGCGGGCATTGGGGGAGAGATCCCACAGGTTGTTGTCAAAGGCGAGATGAAGGAGGTCGGCCTGAATCTGGCAAGGGGCTTTGGGGGCCTGGGTGGCGACATAGCCCTCGATGCATTGGGTACAGGTGCCTTGAAGAGCATCACCACTCACGCAAAACTCGGGCAGACCCCGGGGATGCCAAAAGTAAACGGTGCCGTCCCAAGTGTCAGCGCGACGGCAGGTCTAGATCCAGCATCCACCCGCGGACGAGTAGAAGGCAAGCGCAGGATGAGCACAGGCAAGGCACGAGAACGAAACCCCTGGGTCGCGGCCATCCATCTGTGAGCGGACGCTTAGCAGTGGCACAACCAGAAAGACAGACCTCATATTGTTGGGTTTGGTTGTTGCCGCGCACAATACCCAAGGCCGACTCATCGCAGGGGCCAGTCGAGTTGGTGACTTGAATGGTGCCGGGGAGAAAGCGGTGCAAGTTGGACTTTGTGATAAAGTTGTCACTCTCGGCCTCCAACGAATCAACGACGGCAGAGATGGCGTCGAGATCAACCTGAGCAGCCACATCATTCTGGACCTGATCATTGAGGGCCGTGAGTTTGGCGGCCAGGGAATCAGTGTTGTCGGTGTTGGTCGTGGCGTCGGTGAGATCGGCCAGAGTCTGGACGGCCGTTTGCAACGTGTTACCCTGGGTCGTCGAGGTGGATTGCAGGGTGGTGAGGTCGTTCACGGCGCCCTGAAGGGTGGCATTCATGTTGTTGAAGCGATCGTTGACATCAGAGGCATCGGCCTTGGTGGCCAGATCCTCCATGAGTTGATCAAGGGTGGAACCGTGCTCCCCATGGCCGAGGGACAAATCTTCGAGGGTGCGCAAGAGGTTGATGTCCTTGACCGACTTGGTCGCCATATCATAAGTGCGGAGTGTCACGTTGCCAGCTTGCAAAACGACCGCCTAGGCGCCACAGATGGGGCATCCCGTGATTCGAAAGCAATCAAGAGAACCACGTCAGTGAGACGCATCAAGAGCTGTGGTGGGAACAACAGTGGCAATCTGGCGGGAGTGGGGGAGAGGGGCAGTTTCCTGATCCCATGTCTCGAATGGGCTTCGCACCTTGTCTGCCGGGTCCGAGCTGGCGGCAACGGTAAAGATCTCGCTGCGAAGCGTGCAGGCGGTGTTGCCGTTCACGGGAGAAAAGCCTTCTTTACAGACGCAGACGCCGTTGCCATTCTTGATCTGATGAACATCCGGGCAGTTTTCACCTGTTGAGTGGTTGTTGGCACAGGCGTGAGGATCAAGAATGCACGTTGAACGGGGCAAGCCAGCGCAACGGTGAGGCACTTGACCGCTTACCATCCGCCCGGGCCGTGGCGATCAAGGCCACGACGGCCCACGCAAAGACCACTTTGTACATCTTGCCCACTGAACCACAAAGCAAGCTGCGCGTCGCGTCGCGCGTCCGACGACAGAGAGAGAGAGAGAGAGAGAGAGAGAGAGAGGGAAATGGCACAACGAAACAAACATCAACACCAACAAGCAGCAACAAGCAACAACAAGCAGCAACAAGCAACAAGCAGCAACAGGCAGCAACAGCAGCAGAAGAAGAAGAAGAAGGAGCGCCACACACACACACGGAATACCCACAGACCCACGTACCTCCCAAACCCCACACTTTAAAACATCAACATGGAGGTGGGGTTTGTCGAGTCTCTGCTTTTGGCTTGGAATAGACGCTTGCAGGATGGCGGCTTGGTTCCCTATCTCTTCCGTTCCGCTTCGATTGGGAGAGCGAAGGCAGTGAACGGGAGGTTGCAATGGACATCTAATTCTGACTGTGTTCTTTTACGAATATTTCCATTTTGCGAAAAGAGTGAGAATATTTGATGTTATACAGGAAATTCACTGCAGAAAACCCCGAGCGCCCCGTTTTCTCTGACATTTTGGCCAAATTTGGTGCGAGTCTGAAGTTTCTCATGAGATACTTTTTGCAAAAATACTCACTTCTGATCGCGTCTGATTTTTGTGCAAATGTTCCACATTGCGAATTCAGTGAGCATACCCCATTTCCAGCGATTTTTTTTTATTTTTTGGATTTTTTTTTGCTCCGCTTTCCAAAAAAAAAAAACGGCAGCGCCTCGGCATCTCTCCAAACAAAGTGGCCTTGTTGAGCTCAGTGGCGTGCGCTGGTCTTGGAAGCGTTCTGCGCGTTGCGTTCCAAGTGACTGGCCTGCTTGTGTGGCCTCCCGTTTGTGTCCCTTCCCTTGCGCTAATGAGCACGGGTAGTTTGTAGCTGCCGCCCCGCCTTGTCGCGACACACAAACGTGCACCGCTCAACTGGTGGGGCCTTTGGGATTGCGGCGTACCCCCCTTCCTTTTCACCCGCGCCGTGTATGCTCGACCAGTGCTCCCCGTGGGTCGGGGTGTGAGATCTTCGTACGGCACGTCGACTCGCACCACAACCGCAACCGCAACCACCTCATCGGCCACCACGACCATGCCCTCCACCATGGCTCAAACGCTTCTCGTCCAACGCATCATGGATGACGCCAAGAAATGCATGCACCTCGGGTCAGCACAGCCCCGCCCGTCCTGCTTCATCGCTCACCCCTCCCTCCTTATCTGAGACGACGTGGAAGCATCCTTGATCGCCACCACCATGCCAGCCCCCCACCCGCAGCATCCAACGTTTCTGCTCACACCGGTGCTTGATCGCCATTTTGCTCTGTCTATGATATACCGCGAGTAGTTGGAAGGTAGAACTTTATCCCACAAATTGTGGCCACTGGACCGTGACCATGCCCATGCGAAGCGACTCGAGAACATGCCCCTATGCTGGTCGTAACATCATCATCGACGTCAATATCCAGTGGGACTATCCCAAGTCTCCGCCTGGCATCAACATCACCTCGGCCATCCTCCATCCACACCTCAGCAAGGAAGTGAGCGCCCTTGGCTGTAACGCCAAGGCTCGCTGGCACGACAAGGTGTGGGCCCCCACCTTCTCACTGCTCACCCGCTGGAGCCATGTGCTCCAGAAGTTCACTCCTTGGAGAGCATCTCACGAATGTGGGCCAACACCCCCTTTGAACAGCTGGATGTCGTGCGAGCACTGCAAGCCGTCCACTACCTCCTCGACTGCCCCATTCTCCGCAACAACAATGCTTGCGGCGAATTCATGTGCACTCAGCAGTCAGTTCGGGTCAATCTGCTTGCTACCATCCTATGAACTTGAAAGTGGAGTTGTGTTGTTTTGATGTACATATTATTGTGATACATGGAAACGGCGGTACTCCTGGGGTTGGACAGGGTATCAGTGTGTGTGTGTGAGTGAGTGTGAGTGTGAGTGTGTGTGTGTGTGTGTGTGTGTGTGTGTGTGTGTGTGTGTGTGTGTGTGTGTCGCACCAGGCGATTTGGATATCTCTGCTTATTGACCAATCATGATGAACTTGTTCTCGCGTTGTAGGCGCCCGAGTACCCAGCAGGCGCGCAGCTACTTTCCAGATAACATCCTTGAGTTTGTGCGCAAGGCTGCAGAGTTTGGGGTCGACCTCAAAAACCCTGCCGAAGTGGCGGCCAAGGACGCTGTTTTGGCCCGTGCTGGTTCGTTCCCATCACAGTTTGCCATTTACCATTCTCAAATTCTAGCACGAGCTTGGCAGAATCCGCTCACATCGTCGTACCCGCTGGGACATATTCTTTCTTTCCATAACAACCGAACGCAGACGCTATGGCTCAGGAATTGCACCGACAATACTTGCATTACCAAGTCCTCTCTGCTGACTTGCCTTTTTTCCACGCAGACGTATGCGACCGTCGAACTCGCACTGTGGACGTCAAGTACGATCGGCACTCGAACTTCTGTCCCCTTGAAAAGAGTTTTTTTTGAAACCCTTTGTCCTCAGTTCTCACGCACCACACCATCTTGTTCACTTCATTGCATGATGCACAGGGCAGCCATTTGCTCTCAGGTACCACCGGGCAGCACCACGGCCGGGCAGCAGCCTCCCACACGTGAAACCGGGGTCTTGCCCGCCATGTCGGCTGATTTCAAGTCGCTCACGACTCCGCGCAAGCGCATTGAAGTCTCCCAGTCCGGGGACCTGGCCTCCAAGCGCCCAAAGTATTGGGGTGCACAGATTTTACAGCTCTTTCTACAGCCCCATAACAACCTCAGCCGGTCTGTCTGGCCGAACCCCCCAACCTGCGCTTTTCTCGTCTCCCTCTTTTCCTCTTTTCCTCTTTGCCTCGTGTGCAAAGGCTGATGCTTGTGTCATCATGCGACCCGTGTGGCCCACAGGAATACGATGACGGCGCGTAGCACTGATACGCCGGACATTTTAAAGCACTATGTCTCTGACATCAGTCTCGCCAACGCTCCGCCTGTGGCCAAAACCATGCAGATTAAGTGCACCTGCCAGCGAGAACTGCGCGATCACTTGGTACGCTGCGCCGCTGGCCTCCTTATTTGCACCGGCATCAATCAGCCCTATCCATAAAGCTAAAAGGTCAAAGTTATTCACTCTTCATGATGCTCATTCTTCCATGATTTCCCTTCAGCCTTTGTGGATGCAACAGATTTCAGATGGCGATGCTCTCGTAATGGCCAGTCGTGACCGTTGCTCTTGCTCACTCTTCAACCTCGAGGTACGCATCTCTCAACCTCCGGATGTACTCGCCCTCCGGATGTACTCGCTGCCTGGGAGCTGATGTTGGCGTTCATCATGTAAACAGGTTTTACAGTACGCTCGAGGCCCAGCCTTCCCTTCACTCTTCGTTCTTGCAAGGTGAGCCTGCGTTTCTCGGCCAAAGGCCTGTGTCAGAGGCGTGCGTCAAGACGTCTTGAAGCTCATCGCAGGCTGGATCACGCGGCAGGCATGCGGCTCGCCGACAGCTCCACGAGCTCGAGCGCCAACCGTCCAGCAGCCCACCCACGACTGCACACGAACTAGCCCGCGTACCCTTTGCCAATGGCTCTGTGATGGCCATCCCCTTTTTCTCCTATGCATAACCCTTGAATTGATGAGTCGCTCAAATGATCAGTTTCATGATCTCTCTCTCTCTGAAGCTCTCTCTCTCTCACTCTCTCGAAACCTCTCTCTCTCTCTCTCAAAATCTCTCTCTCAAAATCTCTGAACTTTCTCTCTGAAAGAGAGGCGCCAAAATATTCAAAACACCTGTTCTCAACGCATTTTCTTGTTAACCTCTCAAAATGGTTTGTGCGGTCGTGGCAATCTAAGTGTGGATGTGGCGGCGGCAACCGGCGGCGGCGGTGGTGATGCCCTCCTTCTTGCCTCCCTCGGCCTGTAGCTCTGCTTCGAATCAAATGCGCAGTGATGCGAGGGAGGCAATGGTTCTTTTTATTGTGGGAACAAGCAGGAGGAGCTGTGCTCGCGAGTCGATCAACATTGTCGTTTGCAGTGACTGGATTGATGGCGTTCGCACTCATGCCTCGGATCCATGCCCCGCTCCTCAGGCCTCCCTGTACACTATCAAGGGCATCCTTATTCTTGACAATGACGGCAACCGCGTCCTTTGCAACGTATGCTGCCGTTGGCTCTGTTTGTCGGTGTGCTGCGCCCCGGCATGCGCTCATGCACCCTTGTGCCCGCAGTACTATGATGACGCGCTACCCACCGTGAAGGAGCAACGTGCCTTTGAGAAGAAGCTCTTCCAAAAAACCGCAAAGGCCAATGGTAGGATGACACAATCAACCACCATTGCAAAGCACTCAACCATCATGGCGCTTTCTTCCAGACCTACTCTCCCACGGCTTGGGTTCCTTCCATCCTTCCCTTCGTCTGCTTCAATGCCGGCCGCTCATCTTTCCCTGGTGCTCGATGACCATACCTTTAGCCGAGATCATTATGTTTGACGGTATTACCTGCGTTTACCGCAGCAACATTGACCTTTTCTTTTACGTGTTTGGTGCTGCCAGTGAGAATGAGGTGGGTCGACTCGGGGCAAGATCGATCGAATTGATGGGGCGCGGGAGCTGAGGGGGTGAGGTGAATCCAGAAATGTGCCGCACCGTGTCCAGCCTGCGTGCAATTCTTTTCCTCCTAACGCTTTGTGCGTGTTTACGACAGCTGCTGCTAGCCACCGTCCTTGGCGCCTACTATGAAGCTATCAGTCTGATCGTCAAGTATGTGTGCTGTTGGTCCCTTTTCTTTGTTCGACTGCAAATACACCGCCCCCGCCGCTCCCTCATAGCTTGACTTGGTCCTTGAACTTGCTGGATGTTTGCTTGGTTCTATTTCCATTCGCTCCTTCCCCCCTCCCTCGTAGTCGCGACACCCTGGAGAAGGCATCTCTTCTCGAGCAGATGGATACAGTCCTCCTCATCACGGACGAACTGGTCGACAAGGGGTAGGCTTTTATTTGTCAAAGCACACTTCCTTCACAGAACGCTTTGTTCTGATTTCCTGTCACCATTTGCTTCGCAGCATCGTGCTCAACACGGACGCCGAGTCACTCGCGCGGATTGCAACCACGACCAAGTCAGCTGCGTCCAGCTCATCTGGCGAAAAGGGCCTCTCTTCGGTGCGTGTGACGCACGGCCACCTTTCACCCTGCTGCCTTGCTGCACGTATCCACTTCTCATCCGCTTCTGTCGCCACGTTGTCTGAATACAGGCTTTGAACAAGGCATCTGGCCTTATTCGCAAGCATCTACTGCAGTAACTTGCATGGATATCCAAGTCAGGCCACTACTCTCCGACAGCCCTTGTCCATGCCACCACGTCCTCACCCGGTAAAACGGGTAGCCCACCAGATGTATTTGTGTGCGTGTCTGAGCCAGAAGAATCTTTGTTGTACTCCCCACGTATCTGCATGCAGATGTGCCGTTTTGTTTGTCGCTTGGGTTATTGCCCACGGTGTTAGCGTGCCCAGTCTACTATGAATTACCTCAGCTGATGTGTACCACTCCAGACGTACTGATATGCTAGTGCGCATGATTTCGTCGCAAAATATCACAAGGTGTGACATGGATGCACATATTTAAGCAATAACATGGGACGAGTTTCACGCTGACCCTACGACGCCAAGTTGTGGTGACCCTCGAAGTCATCCGGCCCCCGAAAAAAGAGTGGGGTGGAGAAAAGAACGGGGCTGAACAAAAGTCACCTCAGACTCCCATCAGGAGCATCAAGAACATCGGCATACTGATGCAGCCATTGGCGACCCTGAGCCATGGTCTCTGGGCTCCATAAGCGCGGGACCGAGGCCGAATGCAGCAGGTCCTGCCATTAGAACGTGATGAGCGCAAGCAACCAACACACATCGCCTGCGTGGCTGCAAAACACCGTACCAGCATTTTGGGGGGAGCTTCGAGAATTTGCGAGCGAAAATGCAGCAGTAAAAGCACACATGCGACGGCCGGCCAGCGTGGATGATCCGTCGCCGTCAACGTGACTAGCATTGCCACCTAGAAGCATCCCACTCGAATGACTCAAAAAGGCGTGCCCGATATCGATCAGCGGAGGGGAAGCTGTCATGCGGACATACATCGCGAAATGGCAAAACACGTAAAAAGCACTCGTCGAGCCAGCACGAGACCACAAGCGAGACAGTCAAACTGGAGGGGTGCGTCGAGATGACAACAAAGGCGTGAGTTGATTGCGATGGCTACACGACACTGGCGGCCCCAGTTCAACAAAAATTGCACTGTTATCGTACCCGGCCTGTCGCAGGGCTGAGACCACGTGGGGCAAACAATCGTGAACCAGGCGGTGCACGATTTCCATCATTTGCTCATAATTGTGCCCAAACGGGTCATGAAGCGTTGGTATCCGGTGAAAGATGGCGTCGGCGCGTGCCACGTCCCGACTCAGCACCCAGGCCACGCCCCAAGCCCATGGCAAGCAACTGCCCGGTTGGGCGATGAGCTCCAGGTGGGACGCAGCATCACCCCAAACTGCTTGTGCCAAGCGATTTAAAAGTTCAACGCATTCCGGATCAGCACCTGCAGCCCGTGGTGACGCAACGCCCTTGATATCGACTGATAACGTGGCTCGGCCCGCCTCGGCCAGATGAGCCAGTTTGGAGTAGAGCATCGCAGTGTCGGGCACGTCCGAAACAACCTCTGCCAACTAGATGGGCACACACACACACACACACACACACACACACACACACACACATTGTAAATGAGTCTGGGCGTCGATGGATGCTCGTACACATATGTGCGTAGGTCGCAAGAAAAACCCCATTTGAAAAGTGTTGTAGGAGAATCAAATGGGTGCACAGGCGGAACCCATGCCAAAGTCAAGATGGCTTACGTCAAACAATGTGCTCCTGTCTTTGCTATCCGTCAGTTGGGACAGTAAGTCAACAGCGTGACGCTGGGCTGCCTCTGAAGCGGTCACTTGTGCCATGCGCTTCTCAAGCCCAAGTGGATCAAGACTGTGCGCCTCGATATGTTGCATCAAGCCCGAAGTGGCAGTCAAGACGGAGCGATGGCGGCGTACAACAGCTTGCATTCGAGCCTTCAATCGAATCGCAGCGTTCAGCAGCACGAGATTGCTGAGCGAAGTACTGGCCATTTGCAAGTACTCAAACAGCACCAGTAGACCCTAGCCAAGACGGCAAGTGAGAAAAAGCTGCTGTCTTGTGATCAAAACGGCTTTCAGCAAGCTGCCTTGGCAAGACTGACCTCATCGCTGCAATCAAGTTTGTCGTCGAGCAGATGCTCAAGAAGCTGGAGAATGGCGTGATGCCCGCGAGAGCACACGTCTTGAACGAAAGGCACCGTAGTCATGCACTTTGCAATTGGCAGCAGACGACGACGCTTGGTGAGGTTGCCGTACGCCTAGAAACAAGGTTACAGATCCCGTTCGAAAGCTGACCTTGCAAGCATAATCAAATGTGCGCTGCACGCCTGCGTCCGACTCGGGAACCCACTCCGGTAAGGGACAGTCATTGACTGTCTGAATGGCCGTGTAAAAGTCCTGAAGTGTCCAGACCAAAAGTAAAAAAAATATTTGGGGTAGGAAGGCGCGGGGAAGCAATGCATTGCTGTATCATGGGCTTTGGCTTGCAACACGGATGGCATGCGCGTTTGTCCACAAGAAGAGCTCCAGTTGAACGCATGCGCACAAATTGTGAGGCTGCCAGGAACTAACCTGCACTAGATCAGAACAAAACTTGACTTGCGTCAGCACCTGGACGCCCCGATGCGAGCTGAAGAGCTCGCTGACAATGAGACCATAGCCATATCGCTCATGTCGCGAGATCTAGCGCAACACCAGGCACCATGAAAGGGAGGCGAAAACCACTGCTTGATGTCATGATGGGCCAGCTTCAAACATGACAGGCAAACGCAAGACACAATCATAGAGCCTGAACGGACCTGGAGTCGACTACGAAAGCGCGGGATGAGCCAAGACAGACATGGCTGAGCCACGGGCCGATGCAAAACCCGGGCGATGATGGCTGGTGTGGTCATCATATTTACGACCGTATCCAGAAGGACTTCGTCAGGTTGTGTGCCAGGCGCGCCAAGGTCATCAAGCAGACGATTGGAGAAGCGTTGGCGGTGCGCCAAAACGGCTTTGGAGGTCGGAGCATTCAGAAGCATTTGGCGAACTGCCGATAGCCAAGTGGCGCGAGTGTTGGGGCTGAGTGCCTTGGCTCCGCGAACTTCGTTCAGGGCCAAAGTCTCCAACACCGGACCCAGTGCCAGACTGGGGAAAGCATCGCTGGTATCTGTTGAGGCCTCGGCAAGAAACTTCGCGCCTGCGGTGGTTGCGGCCAAGGCTGCGACCAGTTCAGCCATGTGATTCCAGACGGCAGGAAAATCTGTGGCCAGACTTTGGCAATCCGGTGTTTGCAGCAAGCCCAACAAAGCACGCGGTAGCTTCGTCTCGATCAGAAACTCGAGGCTAGCACCATCATGGTTTACCATGCGCAGTGCTGCTGTAAGTAGATGGTGCGCCATGGCCATGCGCCGCTCGCCTCTGCCAAAAAGAAAAGCAAGGCGACCCGTTCGATTGAGAACCGTGAGCCGTCCTCCAAGGCTTTATCGTAGAGCCTTGGCGTGGTGTTCAGCATCACCAAACGAAAGCAGACCGTGGCGACTGTTGGTCAAAGATGCGAGTTGCCAGCGTACGTGCGTGCTCAACGAGTCTGCACAACAAATAAAGAGAATGGCGCTTGAGCACGCGACGATGAGCAACCGCAGTGCACGTGAGATGGTCGATTGGCACGAACCTATGAGTACGGAGGTATTCACGCAGCTCTAGCCGCAAGGCCATGAGGCTGATCATATGTGTGACATGAACTTGGGAGATATAATTCAGTTGGGTCAAGGTGTAGGTTGTGCTGCTTTGCTTGTCCGGTAATAGCTGCCATGTCTTAGAGGCCAGTGCCTCTTGCAAACAAACCTATAACCGCCAATCAAGCCATGTGGTTAGGTTACTGCGGCCTCAAACCTGCATTCAAGAAGACCATGCCGGTGCATGGTGCGTGAAACTCACGGAGAAACTCGGCTCTGCGCTGAGAGCAGAAGTAAAGGCCTGTCGCAGAGCCAAAGATCGGCTCCAACTAGCCCGAGTCAAGAAGCAGGTGAAGCCCGGTGAATTCACAGGATCAACGACACTTCTGGGCTACGGCCAATGCGAAAAGAAGAGAAATCGTTGGTGGCATCAAGGAGCAGACCTAGCAAACCACGAGGCCTGGGCGTCGAAAAGACCCAGGAACGCAAGCATCGCGCAGGATGTGTCGTTTCCGGGAAGATGTATGCGAACGGCACACATGCGTAGCGTGTGGTGGCACACTTCCATTAACTCGCGATTCGGAACGCGAAAGCACCGCCTAGTGCAGGAGTGAAGATATACATGAGCAAGGCAAGGCATTGAAGACAGGCGATTGAGAAGTAGACATACGTGGGGATGGCCACGAGCAGCTGGTGTACAAATTGCATCACGCCGAGGAACAGGACAAAATCTGCGTCGGTCAGCGATGCAGACAGGGTAGCACCAGCATAGCTACTCGCACCAGACGATGAGGTGGTTTGGACCCCACTAAAACGGTTGAGCACAAGCAAGGCATGACACACCGCTGTAGATACCGCAAGACCAAGGTCAGGACACCTATCATGGCCAAGCAGTCGCCGGATTTGGCCATACAGCTCAGGGCAACCAACGTTGTCTGATGCTCTTGAACGTCACTGCTCAAGAGTGCATGCCTGACAGCGGGAATGTGCGAAGCGGGTGAGCGCGGAGACATGTACGCGTGTATCCGCATCACTCGCACGAAGAGGTGTCATGCTGTGGGAAGTCCTTACCAGAGACATTCCTCAATGGCTGGCCATTCGTCGTGCAGGCGCAGCTCGGCGGGTGCAATCTCTGCCACCTCGATCAAGGCCTAGAGTGCATGAAAGGCCCGAGCAGGGGTCAGCACACTGCGGGCTGAATCAACTTGGATGAGCTTCCCAGCCGCTTTTTGCGAGCACAATGGACCTTGCAGCGAGTCTCGACGCTGGGGGCCCGAAGGCGATACATCAGCTGAGTCATGGATTCGGGTCCAGGAATCATGTTAAAGTAATCATCTGCCTCTGAACAATTGCCAAAGACGAAAAAGCGTGAGGAATAAAAAGGAAAGGTGGGGAGAATTATCTTGCAGCAACTGTGCAAATGCAGGGCTGACCAGCCCAGGCTCACCAAAATCGTCAAGAACGCGGTCAGAACTCGAGAGAATGGTGGGTGGCGCGATGTAAGAGGGGCTGGATCGGCCAGTCCGCGCCAAGTCGTAGCCGTCGTCGGATAACTATTTAACCATCAGAAAGTGGGGAGGCGAGCCGATGGCAAGAAAAGCAAAGTAAATTTCTGCTTGAAATGTGTCCCGATGCATCGGAAGCGACGGACCATGCTGTCCACAACGACAGAGGCTTTGTCCAAAAGTTCTTGCTCGAATCGCTGCCACCTGTCCGTGCGAGGCATCATGAGGTGATTCGGGCAATCGTAAGGTTATACAAAAAAGGCTTTGCGGAAGTGATGGGCTGCACAAGATGGACCGCACCGCTGACTCGCAAGATGCTCAGTGGCCGTTGTCGCCACTTGTCCGGCCACGGGCCGCTTGACGTGCTGCTCTGCGTGTTGCTCCACGAGTTGCATGACGCACTCGACCAGCTGGCGTCTATGACACGGGCCCTGAATGAATGAGCGGTACTGGAAGCCGAGCCAACCAGGGCAAGCTTGGATATCTATCCGTGTCAAAGAGCTGGGCTCAAATACACTGGCAGAGGACGTACTCGCCGAGGCTGGCCTGTGGGGGCTCACTCGAGGCCAGGCGATCAGCTAGGTGGTCAACTTGGCGCTTGAGAGCACGGGGCAAGCCGCTGCCAGATCGTGAGGCATAGTGCGTTGCACCGGTGCCATCAAGCACCACTCCTTCTTCACTGCCGCGCAAACTGCTGCTCCCGGCGCCACCACGGCTGTTGGGTTGCAGGGATAGGCTACCGTTGTTCAGGCGGCGACTCAACTGTTGAACCAGGCAACTGATGCCTGATTGTAGGGCAGCTTCCATCTCCATGTTTGAGGTTGATGGGTGCAGAGGGCTTGATCTGGCCGCAATGACTGACGGCCTTGGTTGGGCGTGCTCTCAGTGGTATGTCCTGATCCTTGTCGGTTGTGGCGGCATGTTGGTCGCACACGCACAGCCTACCAGATCCATCGAGGCAGCACCAATCGCGGCCCAAAAGCCCAGCTACCCGTCATTTGAGTCGGAACCGAGCAAGCTCAAGCTGCCAGGCCAGATGCCCACACTCACCCAATCAACAAGAGTCGGCTTGACCAGTGCGCATTGACGCCTCCTCCCCCCCTCCTGCTGCTGCTCCTGCTGCTGCTTCTCCTCCTGCTGCTGCTGCTGCTCCTGCTCCTGCTCCTGCTCCTGCTCCTGCTCCTGCTGCTGCTGCTGCTGCTGCTGCTGCTGCTGCTGCTGCTGCTGCTGCTGCTCAATTTGCGTTGCGAGGTGATGGATTCTCTTAAGTAAAGTCTTTCATTTTCAAAGAAGAGAAGAGATGCTTGGAACTTGTAAGTACCCCTTGAATGTAAACACACACACTCTCTCTCCCTCTCTCGAATCTCTCTCTAAATCTTCATCTCTCTCTCTCTCTCTCTCTCTCTCTCTCTCTCTCTCTCTCAAACTCTCTCAAACTCTCTCTCTCTCTCGAATTCATTCCTCTTCTCTCTGTCTCTCTCTCTCTTTTTTTCTCTGAAAAAAAAAAAAAATTTGATGCGGGTCGAGATGGAGGCGAAGAGTGCGGGTGTGACGCGTTGGGCGGGGGATGTTACCCTGCGCCGCTGGGAGGTGGATGATCTTTGCCGGGATCTTGGAGACCCTGCTTGCACGATTCAGCGTCTCAGGTTGGCGTCGAGCTTTGCCGCTAGATCCCATGTTGCTGGCCGATGCCCCGACTGACCAACTTGGTTCATGTGTGGCAGCCTGGCCGATTCGGACCTGAGTGAGGCGGCGCAGCTCAAGATTGCGCAGGCGCTGGGCGCCAATGGCTCGGTTCAACACCTCTGGTTTGTACTGGATCGAGTTGTCACGGTCGTCGAAGGTTTTGGTCCTCGCTCATCCAATTTTACCGGCGCTTGGAACTTGTGAGCGCAGCTTGTGGAAGTGTGGCATCACCGATGCAGCAGCCGTACAACTGGCCCAAGCCCTTACCAAGGATGGGGACTCTGCTCAACTGGCTCGCCTCGAGTGCGTGGTTGCAATCAGTTTGGCATTCTTGCATCCCGCTGTTTTTTTGGGGGAGAGAGTTTGGGTGCCGATGAGCCCCATCAATCGCTGCTCACACTGACGCTCTTGTAGACTGTGGGGCAATCACATTGCAGACGCTGGGGCTGCAGCGCTGGCACAATATGCGGCGCAAGACGCTCGACTTGAGCATCTCGAGTGTGTATAGCCATCGCTTTAGCATGCCCGTGCAGGCGGCGCACGATGCCGTGCTGCACCTCCCCCTTGATGCTCAGTGTTTCCTGTTGTTTGCTGTGTAGTTTGGGGTCGAACCAGATTGGCACCCAAGGGGCCCTAGCCTTTGCTGAAGCGCTGCCTTCTTCGCATCTTACGTTCCTCGAGTGGGTTTCCTCCTGGCCATACTTGTGTGATGGTTCCATGCGAAGTTGCATGGGGTCGTTGCAGGCGCTTTAACGGGTACTCATCAGCAACCACGCTTGTTTCGGGTGATCATAGCCTGCGCTACAACTCCATCACAGAGCAAGCCGCGGTGGATTTAGCGTCAGCCTTGGCCAAATGCCCTCATGCCTGCTGTATCGAGTACGTCTTTGGTGGCGACAAAGGCTGTTTGCACCCATGGCTATTGAGCGCCCTAACCTCAAACTGTTGCTCGTCTTAGCCTGCGTGTATGTGGCCATATTATCCTTCCAGCGACACGACACACGATTCAAGAGCAGCTCCGCGCCGCTGGGCCGGGCCGACAGCTCAAATATGACTTTTTCTCTCGCAAGACCGGCCGATCCGCTCAGCCAGATCTCGCATAACAACTGGACTGCGTCCGCATTTTCTTGATATTCTTAGACTTTGTGCCCCCCTGAAGCCCGTGTGCCTGTGTGCCTGTGTGTTTGGACCTCTCTGTTGCTGACCCCCTGTGCCTCTGTGCCTTTGTGCCTGTGTGCCTGTGTGTCGTGCCTTTGTACCTTTGTGCTTGTCAACATCTTGAGTGTGGTGGACAAATCACATTGTATTTTGCCCATGAGGAGTGTGGGCATGCATATGGATATAAATGTGCCAAACGCCGAGTTCTCTTCTCCATGCCACCACGCCATGATGAGCTGCATATCCATCTCCAACCATACCCGTGCCCACCCGGAAGGCGTCTGAACACACCTCACTCCCCATTCAAAGCAAAAAGTAAAATACATCTGGATGTCAGATCAAATGCGTCATGATGAACAGTCCTCTCTCTCTCTCTCTCTTTTCTTGACCGCTCGTGCACTTCCATGCACTCTGCATCTCTCTGCATCTCTCAACATCTCTCTTCATCTCTCAATATCTCTCAACATCTCTCAACATCTCTCAACATCTCTCAACATCTCTCAACATCTCTCAACATCTCTCA